TCTTTTTTTTTTGTTATTCTTGAAAATGTTATGTTTACTTAAGAATACATAGATTGTGCCTTGGGGGATGAATTATTCTTGAAATGCCTGCTAATCGCATCTGGTGTATTCTCCCATCTAAATCTACAGGTTCATTCTCCGTTGAGTAGCTGAGGCTGTGTGAGGGCTGTCACAGTTCCTGATGTCCTGGGGTTGCTCTCCGGGGCAGTCCCGCATTCTGTGGCTAGTTGCTTCATGCATTTTGGCGCTCCCCCAGGCAGAGCAGAAGTGTTATCAGGGAGTAGATGTGGCTAGACCATCGAGAGGGGAGACCCCGGATGATTCCCAGGTTTACCATGAAAACAAACAGTGCAGGAGCTTCAGGTGGGCAGTGTTTCTCCTCTCCGACAGGTGGCTCAGACAATACCTACGCCCTCTTGATCTGTTCATGTGGGAATGAACTTTGGCATCCAGAATTTCATTTATAATTAGTTATTTTGGGGGGCCATATCGGCAGTGCTTGGGCCTACTGCTGACTCTCAGGGATCATTCCTATAAGTGCTCAGGGGACCATAGGACCTGCTGGGGATCAAACCAGGCTGTTCCCCATGGAAGGCAAGTGCCTTACTCACTGAACTCTCAGTCCCCACCCCCCTGAATTTTTTAAATGGGGAAATTTCTTGTCTTGATTTGGATTCTGACATCTCTGGGCATACTGGACCCCTAGTTCCTGAAGTTCAGAGTCTGGGGGGAGGTATTGCAGGGGGACCACCCCAGAGAAACTGTTCCAGGACTCCTTGGATATAGAAGTTGCAATGTTGGGATCGGAATATTCGATTATAACCTTTTGTTGGAATCTCTGCCTTTTGTGGGGATTTGCTAACGACCTGCTCACAGCCAGAGACTTCAACCTCACGACTTTGTCCTTGCAGGGGTCTCAGACCCCCACTGGATCTGTCCTGTTCCCCTGCTTGATCTTCTTCTGAAGAGGGTGCACACCCGATAGTGCTCAGGAACCACTGCTGGCTCCAGGCGGTGTTCAGGGACTACACAGGCCTGGGAACCTGGCCCCTGCACGCAAGGCCTGTGCTTAACCGCTGGCCTTCTGCTTGATCTTTGATGATCAACTATTCTGTTAATCTCTTTCTTCTCCCTCCCCACCTTTTACTTTACCCCGCCTTTTACTTTTTGCCCATACGTCTATCAGTGTATATTTCTCACCATCAATGTCCTCAGTTTCTCTTTCGCTCCCACCAGCCCCCCTACCCCCAACTCCCTTTATGGCAGGCACTTGTCTTCTCCCCCAGCTCCTTTTTCTGGGCATTATAGTTTGCAGCACATTACTGAAGGTTATCATGTATATTACCTCCTTTCAGCACTCAGTTCTTGTCCTGCGTGATCATTTCCAGTACCATTGTCATAGTGGCCCCCTCTCTGTCCTAACGGCACTCACCTATACCCATCCTCCAACCTTGCTTTGTGGCAAACTTCCAACAGCGGACCAGCGGTAGGTAGGACTGTTCCACTGTTCTGTGAATCTTTAACACAGACAATTTATGTATATGAAGTCTGGATAAAAATGTGTTTGTGGATTGGGGGAAGGGGACAGTAATTGAGAAAATTGAGAATAGGTTTTCCTTTTTCAGAAGGGAAGTATCTTTGGTTCCCTCGGGCTCGCGAGGTTGTTTTGACTCCATAGCAGTGCAGCCTGGTGGTTGTGTCTACCTTCTTGTCAGTTGGCTTTAGTTTGGCGCGGGAGTCTTATGGTGGGTTGGTGTTGTAGCTAAATGAAGCCGACGCTTTGGGAAAGGTCTGTAGTGCTGGTCCTGGACTGTCCAGTCACCGGAACATCCCTGCTGCTGCTTAAAACTAGGAACGGGCGCCTTGTAGAAGCAGCTGCACATCAGGAGGGGGGCAGTGAACTGGCTGCACCTGGTTTCTCTCTACACAAGTCTTGCCTTCTGAGTTCTGTTAAATGTTGGTCACTATGAGGACAGATGAATAGGACTGTATATGTTTGTGTTTAATCCAGAGACTTCCTGACTCTGAAATTCCTCTTGGTGCCTTTTGGAGTGGGGCAGCGAGAAATAGAACTTCTCATACCCGACCAGCCAGTAGTTTTGGGTTTTCTGAAAGTGCCTCAGTCATTTCTCACCCCCCCGCACAGTGGCAACTCTGGAACCGAGGCAGAAGTTGATGGGGCAAGGAGGAACTGGGGAGCACGTAGGCTCAAGCCCTGGAGGGGATTTTATTCCCTGTCAGCCTCTCCATGTGCTGCCAGTGAGTCTTCTCCCCTCCTTCTCTGATTCGGGACTAGCATGCTTGGTGATTCATAGATGCGATTGTTAACTTACTGTCGTGGCAGCACCTGTCCCGTGATGCTGCAGAACCAGAGGCAGAGAAAACTGTTGATCCTTAGCATGAATCCAGACACTGATACTCCCCCTGAATCCCCCCTCCCTGATTTCTGAGGTTAGCACATTCCTCACCTCATGCACTCATTTTATTTCTTGGTTTGTGGACTCACTCCATCTGGAAGTGCTCAGAGCTTAGTCCTGGCTCTGGCTGAAGGATCACTCCTGGTGGACTTGGGGGACCATATGGGGTGCCAGGGATTGTACCAGGGTCAGCCACGTGTAAGGAAAGAGCATCTGTACTATCTCCTTATACTTACCCCTATACTATTTCTCTGGCCTCTATGCATTCAATTTTAAAAGAAAATGCTACTTTGTTATGGTAGTAAGAAATCATTTTTTGGGCTGGAGTGATAGTGCCGCGGACAGGGTGTTTGCCTTGCATGTGGCTGACCTGGGTTCGATTCCCAGCTTCCCATATGGTCCCGTGAGCACCACCAGGTGTAATTCCTGAGTGCAGAGCCAGGAGTAACCCCTGAGCATCACTCGGTGTGATCCAAAAAGCAAAAAAAAAAAAAATTATTTTTCTAAAATCATGACTTGAGAGCATGTTTACTATATTACGAGGTGAAATGGAAAGTATGCATCAAGAACATTGCTAGTCTTCAAATAACAACAGTATATATGTGTGTAGCACTAGCACTGTCCTCCCATTGTTCATCAATTTGCTCGAGCGGGCCCAGTAACATCTCCATTGTGAGACTTTGTTGTTACTGTGTTTGGCATATCAAATACATCACAGGTAGCTTGCCAGGCTTTGCCATGCGGGTGAGATACTCTTGGTAGCTTGCCGGGCTCTCTGAGAGGGGCTGAGGAATCGAACTCAGGTCTGCCGGGTCGGCTGCATGTAAGACAAACGCCCTATCCGCTATGTGTGTGTGCGGGGGAGGTGGGAGACTGTGGTGGGGGCAGCACTGGAGCCACACCTATTGATTCTTAGAAGCACTTTGCTCTGCTCAGGAGTAACCCCTGGGGCCCGTATGGGGTGGTGGGCATTTGAATTGGATCAGCAAAGTGCATGGCAAGCGCCTTAATTCATAAAAAAAATAGTTTGGGTCACACATTTACAATAATGATAATGTTGTTTTCTTTTTTCCTTTTTTTTGAGGTGGGGGCACAGCTGGCATTGCTCACGGCTTACGCTTCGCTCTATGCTCAGAGGGTTGTGCTCGGGGTTCCAGATGTGGTGTGGGGGATCAAACCAGGGTCAGCCTCATACAAGGGCGTTAACTGCTGTACTGGTCCTCCAGCCCAACACCATGGCTCAAGGTTCAATATACAGAGTTCCTCCTCGCCACTAAAGTGCCAGTGTTCTTAGGCTATTTGCAGATCCTCTTGACCACCCTCACCCCCAACCCGGAACTGCATGTCTCAGTTCTGTAATCTAGGACTAAGGTGTTTCCACCATTCGATGACTTCTTTCCCCGTGTCATTGTTTATGTACCACAGATGAATGAGATTGTTTGGTATTTGTCCTTCTCCCTCTGAGTCACTTTGCCTGACATGAGGCCCTCCACTTCTATCCTAGCTGCAGCAAACAACAGATTTTATCTTTTCTTAGGACTGTGTAGTATTCCATAGTATTGGGTGACTACACAGTGTCTTTATTTGAATGAGCTTTTTTTGATCCTCAAAAGTTACAAAAGACATTTTTTGACACTTGTAACCATTTAATTATGTAACTAAAATGGTGTTGATAAAGATATCTGAGTATGGTTATGATTTTGTGGTTCTGTATTTATTCTTGGGCAATATATGCTGACTGGAGTATATTGGGATGAATTGGTAGCTTACCTGCGAATTCCCTGATACATACATGAAAAGTTGGGCTGACTTGTTCTAAATCGATTTTCCTAGTTCAAAAGTAGTAAAATATTGCCATGTACATATGGTCTGACTTAATATTTGTTGACAATTTAACGATAGTTGAAAAAAAGAAGGCAACTAAATGTGATACTTGATAGTTCTAGGTGAAGAATAGTAGAGATGTTTCTCCCTTTTATTAACTTTCTAAGTGTTTAAACTTTTCCAAATATGAGAGTTGGGATCAAATAGTAGCCAACATAGAGAAATGAACTCACAGCAGATACATATTTTGTTAGTTGTACTCAAAGAATAATTGCTTATAGCAATCTCTAGACACGAGTTCCCAAACTACTTCAGTTGGTTTGGAATTTAGAAAAGAAAAGCTTATTTTTAAAAAAAGCAAAAATTTAAGTACAGGTGAACTGTTAAGAAATGAGGTTTGTTTTTACACATATGACATTTAAAGGCAAATCCAGTGTAGGTGGTAAAAGGCAGGCTGGGGTGGGGGTCGCTGGTTTCTCAGGAACGAACGGATGCTGCTTCTTGTCGAGAGATCAAAGACAGCTTCTCTCTGGGAACCTTGCCAGTGAGAGGATCTCTGGGGTTCTGAAAGGGCAAGGTCCATCACATCCCTTCCCTGTGCCCAGGAGGGCCCGGTGGACCCTATAGGGGCTGGGGCCTCTGGGCACCGCCAGCACAGATGGGCCGCAGATGGATCACGTGTGGGCTTGTGGGGAGAACTGGAGAATCCCACATGCTTTCCAGGCTGCTCAAGTCCTTCCTTTCTTGTCTTCATCACAGATCCCCAAAGAGGTGGCTGACATCTTTAACGCCCCCAGTGATGAGGAAGAGTTCTTTGGGTTCCAGGATGACGTTCCCATGGAAACGCTCTCCTCCGCAGAGAGCTGTGAGAGCTTCAACTCACTGGAGTCAGGGAAGCAGGTACGGGCATGCTGCCGGCCTCCCTGTGGCCCTGAGGCCTGGGTGTGGGTCTTCTTTGATTTGAACATGACCTGAGGTTGGTGGCAGCGGGTCATGGTCGGTTGTTCTAATGATTATTACTAATTCATTATAGTTAGGGCAATGAGTTTATGGCAGTGTTGACATCTATGGTCCTGGGATACACAGCACCTCCCATCCCCATCCACCACCACGTTCAAGATACTCCCTGTCCCCCCCTCCCCCCACCGCCCCCCCCCCACAGACACATAGGCACACACACACACACACACACACACACACACACACACACACACACACACCCCTCTGTGAGCATATTAACGTTGCAAATGTTCCCTTTTCAGGAGACTGGGTGAGAGGTTCTAGCTTGCTTTTGTGTTATTTTTTTCTTGGTGTACTTATTTCTGTAAAGTGAAGCTCTATTCAGTGAGTGAATCTAAATAGTCTTGGCTGCCTGCAGAGCATCCCACAGGGAGAGCCCTCGGGGGTCCTGGATGACCCTAAGCCCCTCAGTGTGACTCCCCTGGCACCTCCCTCCTGCTCACTCTTGCCGGTGTTGTTTCCTGAGTTTGATCTTGGGTGAACCAGAGATGCCTGGGAGTGCTCACTGTGTCTTGGAAGTGAAAACATCTGGACTCCTGGGGCATTTTCCTCCTGGGTTCACTGTGGCACCCAGAACCCTTTTAGGAAGCTGTGGACTCCCTTGCATCAGGGAGAGATGTTTGGGGAAGACTGGGGTGATGAGCCGCCCCCATACCTTTGGCCTTTGTGTGTGTGTGTGTGTGTGTGTGTGTGTGTGTCTGGTCTGTCTGTCTGTCTGCCCATTGTGGGCTCCTCACCACCCTTGCCATCCCTGCAGGATCTGACCCCTGCTCCACGCCCCTTTGATTTTTTTAATATATTTTTTAATTTTATTGCACCACCATGAGAAAGTTATAGGCTTTCATGTTTGGGTTACAATCACACAATGATCAAACACCCATCCCTCCATCAGTGCACATTCCCCACCACCAATCTCCCCAGTAATCCCCCCTCCCTACCCTCCCCCTGACTCCATGGCAGACATGATTCCCCATAATCTCTGCTTTGGGGGCATCATAGTTTGCAATATAGAGACTGGGAGGTCAACATGTTTGGTCCATTATCTACTTTCGGCACACATCTCCCAGCTCTACTGATTCCTCCAGCCATCATTTTCTTAGTGGTCCCTTCTCTATTCCAGCTGCCTTCTCCCCTCCGCTCATGAGGCAGGCTTCCAGCTATGGGGCAATCCTTTTGGCCCTTGTATTTACTGTCCTTGGGTGTCAGCCTCCTCTTCCTTGCAGACCTTGTTCTCCGAGCACCTCTTCGGCCTGTCACTCCTAGGTACCGTTCTCAGCTCATGTCCTCAGCGGCTCCGTTGCCTCCCTCCCTCCTCCTCAGGGCTTGGCCTCCCTCTCCTGCCCTCTGGCCTGTCCTGATGGGGCAGGGGAGCTGGGGAGGCCCCCAGGTGCACACCGTGGTTGTTGCTCCAGCTTCTGTCTTTTGTTCTCACCCTTCTGTCGCCTCTCTAGGAGCCAAGGAAACATGGCCATGCTCCTTCCTCTGCCTGCCTGTCTTGAAGCTCCCAGTGTTCTCGGGGCCTTTGGTCTGAAAGCGAGTCCCTTCCCTGCCCCTGGTGTGTGGTTTCATCCAGCTCACTTGCTTTGCTCAGAAGTGGCTGCTCTCTGGGGCTGGAAAGATAGTACAGCAGGTGGAGCATTTGCCTTGCACGCAGCTGACCTTGTTTGATCTCTGCCATCCCAAACGGTCTTCTGAACCTGCCAGGAGTGACCCCTGAGCACTGCCAGGTGTGGCCCCTAGAGAAACAGAATTGGCTGATCAGGGGCAGGCGGTGGGGGAGAGCGGAGCCAGCTGGACCGTCAAGAGGGACATGTGAGAAAGCATTGGGACACAGCAGCTGCAGTTGTTCCCCTGGCAAGTGCATCTACCTCGTGACCCCGGTGACCCTCTCCGAGTCTGACCTCGGAACATTTGCAGTGACTTCTCCCTTCATCCCTTCTGGGGGCCACTCCTGGCTCAGGGTTCAGTGCTCCATCCCTAGGACGAGGTGCTGATTACTACTCAGGCTCTGCAGGGACTCACAGGGCCAGCCCCCCAGCTGGGGGTCTTCGGGGTGAGACCTGGCTCTGTTCTGCAGTGTTCTGGGGCAGCAAGAGTACATGTGACAGATGGAAGCAGTGTCACCCCACCACAGCCACTGCTGCACCTGCCTGTGTGGGAATCTGGAGGTGCTGTCGTGATCCCTGGTGCCCTGTGGAATGGCTTGGTTCAGGCTGAGACACAGGGGCCAAATCCAACCCTGGAGCCTCTCTCCTCCTGTCCCCTGCAGTACTGTCCCCCGCTGTGCTGACCCCTCCTCGCACAGTGTTCTGCCATGCTGCTGAGATCCAGGGAGCCTCACTCGATTTTGGGTACCCTCTGGCCTCTCACACTTGTGTCGCTGCTGACCCTTCCGGTGGCCCGTTCCTTGTGGACCCGTCCTGTTTCTCCCTTTAAGTCGGGACTGCTGGGGAGTCAGGTGCCCTCTGCGTTCGTGCGGCTGGGTGTGTGTGTGTGTGTGTGTGTGTGTGTGTGTGTGTGTATGTGTGTGTGTGTGTGTGTGTGTGTGTGTGTGTGTGTGTGTGTGTGTGAAGGGTGCACTGCTGAGTTAAGCCCTCTTTCCTTCTCTCTCTCCCTCATCCTGTCAGAGGCGCCTCAAAGGGAAAAACACAAACCACACTCCGAGCTCCTCTTCCGTTTGATCTTTGCGTCCTATGCATTTGCTTTCGTGAGACAGCAGTGACCCAGACCAGAACCCACCCCACCCCACCCCTCAGTGATGCTCAGGGTCGACTCCTAGCTCAGAGCTCCGGTAGGACTCTTGGGACCATGGCGGGGAGTTGGGTGGACCTGGGTTGGCTGACTTGGGTCAACCAAGGCAGGCCCGGTTGCTCTGGACCTGGGGGTTAATTTTTCAGGGGTCACAGACTCTGGTTGAGCAGAGAGTGGTGTAGGGACAACTACAGAGGCACCAGACCGTGGCGTGGATCAGTCCAGTTCACACCGTGTGGATGCAGGACCCTCGAAGCACAGCCTCTGTCAAGGACGAAGTTGATCGTCATCTGACCCAGACCCAGCGCTCTGATTTCTCTGCCCTGGGAGGCCAGCACAAGGTTAGAAGGAGCCAGACATCCTGCAGGACTGGGCTTGCTGCTGGGCACCCGAGCGCCCTCTCCCTGGGCTGCCTCGCGGAGGATGAAACAGATTCAGTGCTCACGTTGCCCAGACACCACCTCTGGGTCAGCTCGGAGTGTTGATTTGTTGATTTATTTTGCTGGGCGCGGGGATGGGGTGGGGAGGTCCATTCTTCCTTTGTGACAACTTTTGTCCAGTGGCTTCTCCACCCCAGCCCCACACACTCAGGGTCTGCCCCAAGTGCCCAAATTTGCACACCTTGAAGCACTGTCGAGATGGGTGTCCCCCAGACACAGTTTGAGCTTTGCTTTAGAGAACCCCCCCCCTTTTTGTGTGTGCTTATTATATACTTTTTTACAAACAGCTGCACCGCAGCTACCAACAAAGGAACAAAGTAATTTAGTTCTGAGCACAGTTACTCCAATTACCCATAATAATTCATGGGAGACATTTTTAAGCTTCTTTAAAAAAGAAAAGCAGGATGCAGGCATGCCGGCATTTCCTTCTCGATCCCTCTCCCCCCCCCCCCACTCCCACAACTTTTTCCACTTGTCTATTATATCTATTTTTCTCCAGTGATTAGTTGAGCGCGAAGAAGTATATAATTAAAGTCAAGGGAAGGCGGGTGGGGGGGAGATAAAGATTTTTCAAGCAAATGGGATGTGGCATGGGGTCACTGCTGTATCAGGTGTGGGAGGGAGCGGCTGGGGTGTGGAGTGAGTCCTGGCCATCAACCTGGAGGCGGCTGGCTGGCTGGCTCGCTGGTCCCGTTGCCATTGCTTTCTTGGGCTGTGTGTCCTCGCTGGCTCGCCAGTTAGAGCATCTGACTGCCTTTTTAGAAACTTGAGCAAAAGTCCTCATCAAGTTGAAAAATGCCTTTGTGAGTTCCTCGAGTCCGCGCTCTCCTTCTGCTTGCTGGCATGGGCATGGGCACTGGCATGGGCATGGGCACTGGCACTGGCACCGGCAGGGGCTGGGTTGGGCCTGGGAAAGGAAGCAGGCTGTTGTGCTCGGTATGGCCTGCAGGGGGCGCATTTATGGGCGAGAGCCGGGCTTCCCGGTGGCCGACCCTAGCAGAAGTGGAATTCCATCTGCACTTAGCACCCATGGATGAAGCTGATCCGAGGCGATAGCCATTTTGGGGTGGGGGTGGTGTTTGCGTGCGGATGCATGCACACGTGGGTTTGCGTGTATATGTGTGTGTTTGGTTGTGATTTCTTGCACATGTTTGTGGTTGTGCCCTGTCAACACATAATAGGACACTTCCATTTACACCAATTTTTAAATGGCAGGTAAGTCCCTGCTTTCTGGCAGGTAAGTCCCTGCTTTCTGGCCAGCAAGATGTTGTGTCATTAGATACCAGGCAGCCCCTCACCATTATGGCCTTTATGAATCTAATCTTATCTTTTCTTTTCCCTCCCTCCCTCCCTCCCTCCCTCCCTTCCTTCCTTCCTTTTTTGCATCACACCCAGCAATGCACAGGTGTTAACTCTTGGCTTTGCACTCAGGAATTATTCCTGGCGGTGCTCGGGGATGCTGGGATGCAGGAATATGGGATGCTGGGAATCAAACCCGGGTCGGCTGTGTGCAAGGCAAATGCCCTACCCACTGTGCTATTGCTCCAGCCCCCGCCTTTATGAATATTTTCATCCCCCCTCCTGCCCTGAAACTGCAGCCATTAACCCGTTGATGTGGACGCTGTGTTGTGTTAATTAAACCCCATTTAGGTGTGGACTACTGGTGCTTTTGAGCAGTAATTTGAGCTCCTCTGACTGGCCTGTCATCTTGGTCATACGTGCTTTTATTTTATTTTCATGTTATTTATTTTGGCCCTGGTGGTGCTTGGGGCTTACTCCTGGCTTTGAGCTCAGGGGTCACTTGTCAGGCAGGGGGAGGGGTAGGACAGGCGGGGGGGACACTGGGGACATTGGTGATGAAAATGTACACCAGTGGAGGGATGGGTTTTTGATCATTCTATGACTGACACTCAAACATGAAAGTTTTGTAACTGTATGTCACGGTGATTCAATTAAAAGAAATTTAAAAACGGGGAAAAAATAAAATTAAAGTTGGAATAATAAAAAATAATGAAAGTATGTCATAGCTATACATTAATTGGCATAAATATTGAATTTAAAAATTGTTTAATAATTAAATATGGTTTTGCATGTATTTATACTTACATATGTTTATAGTTATATGTTTGTCAATATATAAAATAGCTTGATAGATAATTCGTAAGAATGTTCATTGGTATTTTGATTATGGCAAATACTGAACTTCTTAGTGATTTTTGCTTTGCAATGACTGTGAATTAAAAAAAGGCCCTCCCGTTGATCGTCGATTTGCTCGAGCGGGCCCAGTAATGTCTCCATTGGAGACTTTGTTGTTACTGTGTCTGGCATATCAAATACTCTCGGTAGCTTGCCGGGCTCTCCGAGAGGGGCGGAGGAATCGAACTCGGGTCGGCCATGTTGGCCGCTTGTAAGGCGAACGCCCTACCCCGCTGTGGTCCGGCCCATATGAAAACAAAAATCTTAAAGGGGAGAAAAAAGAAAGGCACCTTACCTGCTGTACTTTCTCTCTTGCTCCCTGTTTTTTTTTTTTTTAATTTTTAGCAGGATGTGCGTTTTCATTCCAAATACTTCACTGAAGAGCTGAGACGGATTTTTATCGAAGACACGGACTCGGAGATGGAAGATTTTGAAGGATTTACCCAGAGTGAGCTGAATGTGACGAGTAACCCAGAAGCAATGGTGAGGACCATCAATTCGATGGGATGTGGGCTGTGATAGTTTCAGTTCCATTTAATGATTTATATTTTTCTCTGTGAGAAGCCACTTCACCCACAAGAAAGGTGTTGCATTTCTCTTGCACACGCATCCCATCAGCCAGTTAACAAAACCAAGGACTTGCTGCAGTGCTGATCGTGACTCCCATGGGTCACAGACCAGCTGTCCATCCTGGCTGCCTGGGGCCTGGGCACAAGCTCCAGCTGACCTCACTGTTCTGAGAGTTGATTTCCCGTGACTCTGTTGACCCTCCTGAAGAGAGCAGAATCTGTTTCAGAGAAGACGGTTCCTTCAGGTCCTTCCTTGGGTTGTGATCATCTTAGATTTTAGAGTTCACGATCACGATCACGATCATCCTGTTGTTCATCGATTTCGTCAAGCAGGCACCAGTAATGTCTCCTTCGTCATAGCCCTGAGATTCTAAAAAGTGCCACATTCAAGGCTCTTTCAGGGTTAGGAGAATGAGACCCATCATTGTTACTGGTATTTGGCATATTGGGTATGTCAACGGGGAGTTTGCTAGACTCTGCTGTGTGGACAGGTTACATTTGGTAGCCTGCCAAGTTGTCCAAAGCAAGAATGAGATAATAAGATGTCACTTCCGGGAGTTGGGTTTTATAGTCTTTGGGTCTTGGCCGTTGATGGGATTACACGGGGGCGGGGAGGGGGTGCGGGCGGGTAGTTGTTAGATTTTAGAGTTAAGGTGGCAGAAATTTAGCTGTAGGGCTGGTGAGATAGTACAGTGGGTAGGGCACTTGCCTTGCATATTGCTGACCTGGATGCGATTCCCAGCATCCCATAAGGTCCCCTAGGCCCTTCAGGAGTGATCCCTGAGCACAGAGCGAGGAGTAACCCCAGAACACAATTGGGTGTGCCCCCCACCCCCAGTTGGCAGTAGCACACACTTAAGAGTTTTCTCTGCACTTCTTTGGAGGATGGGGTGGGGGGTCACATACCTGACTGAGTGCTTAGGAGGACCATAGGACCATATGTGGATTTGGGGGGGATGGGGGTGTACTGAAAAATAGCATTCATTTATCTTCCAAAATCAGTATACCTCTAGCATTGAAGCCTTTTCACACACTGAAAGATGTTGAACCTGGCAACCTTGGGAGTGTAAATACCTGTCCCTAGGCACTGTCCCCCACTTTTACCTGGGGCTTCCCTGGCTCGATGAGAATTTTCCACATGAGGAGTAGCACTGAGGCCCAGCTCCCCTGCCCAGTGGTGGTTTCTCCTGTGGCCTCGAGAATCCGTCCCTCTGTTTGGCCACATAGTCCCCCGTTTCCTGCCGCCCCCCCCCCCGAACCTTCCACATGCCATTGGCGCTTCTTCTCTAGCTCTGTGGCGTCTGTTTAGTCGGGGAGCTGGTGGTGTAGCATCGGGAAAGTAAATTACTGGAGTCCTCGTGCTCGGAGTCTGTGAATGTGGGGTGGGAACTCTGATGTTTCTGTTATAGCTCTGAAACCAGCACGTTTTCCCTTGGAATCCCAAATCCAGTGTGGGGGGTAGGGGGTGGAGGAGAGACCATAGCTCCATGGTAATACATATGCCTGGCAGCCCCAAGTCTGACGCCTGGCACCTCGAGCTGTGGCCGCTACTGAAAAACTAATCAAACATGAAAGGCCCATGAGACTCTGGCCCCGTCCGTCCCACCACCCGTTGCGTGGGAGGACTGGGGCCATCACTGTGTCTGGTCACCAGGGTAGGACCAGACCTTGGGGTTCAAGCATTCTCCCAGCAGTGAGGGTGATTCGGTGGTCCGGGGAGTCATGCAGCCTCACAGGACTGAACTCCGAGCTCCTGCGGGCAGAGCATCTTCTCCAGCCCTGCCTTACATCCACAGCAGGTCTGTTCCAGACTCTGTGCTTTTGGGGCTGGAGCGATAGCACAGTGGGTAGGGCCTTTGCCTTGCACACGACTGACCCGGGTTCGATTCCCAGCATTCCATATGGTCCCCTGAGCACCACCAGGAGTATTTCCGGAGTGCATGAGCCAGGAATAACCTCTTGCAACACCAGGTGTGACTCGAAAAGAAAACAAAACAAAACAAAAACAGCGTCTGTGTTTTCATTTCATCAGCTTCCAGAGTCCGGCGAGAGTGAGGAGGAGAAAGCCCCTTCAGTGAGTGAGGAGGAGGAGGCAGAGGAGGAGGAATGCAGCGAGGAGAAGGAGGCCACCCCACGACGAGGGAGACGGAGAAGCAGCAGTGTGGGGCTTCGAGTGGCCTTTCCCTTCCCCACCAAGAAAGCGGCGAAAAAACCAGACAAGGACAGTTCTTCTGCCTCCACGTTTTCAAGTTCGTGCTTCCAGGACGATAAAAACGCAGTGCTTGGGAGGAAGAAAAGTTGCCGGCAGGGGAACCGGGGGGACGAGTCTGCCTCCGAGTCGGAGGACGAGTCTCGAGACGGGGCCCAGGAGAGCTCAGACGCTCTGCTGAGGAGGAGCACGAACATCAAGGAGAACAAGGCCATGGTAAGGCACCAGCCTGTCCTAGATCTTTCCTGGGTTCCCCAGCAGCAAGGGACGGAGGGAGCCCCTGGGATCATTTTCAGCCCCTGCAGACTGCCCGCCAGTGATCGCGTGAGCTCTGTGCTGCCGTGGAGTGGGTCTAGCAGAAGGCAGCTTTGTTAGACAGGGGTTCACTCAGCCCACCTCAAGTCTAGGTGGCTCAGGGCCTAGCACCCATGTCCTGGGATGACTGTAAGATTCTCACACACTGGCTGAAGGCATGAAGGGCACCCAGGAAGTGAAAACAACCTGCAGATGGTGTTTTTTTCCCCCCCTTCTTTTTGGGTCTCAGTCGGCAATGCACAGGCATTACTCCTGGTTCTGCACCTAGGAATTACCCCTGGCCGTGCTCAGGGGACCGTATTGGATGCTGGGAATTGAACCCGGGTTGGCTGCGTGCAAGGCAAACGCCCTACCCACTGTGCTATTATCCAGCCCAATGTTTTTTTTTTCCAAAGATGTTTTATTTTACTTTTATTCTTCGCTTTTTGAGTCACACCTGGCACTGCTCAGGGGTTACTCCTGGCTTTGCACTCAGGAATTACTTTTGGCAGTGCTGGGGCAGCAGGGACCATAAAGGATGCTGGGGATTGAACCTGGGTAAGCCAGGTGCAAGGCAAATGCCTTACTCACTGTACTATCACTTTGGCCCCAACCTGCAGAATATTTAAATCCTGCAAAACTGTCTCTTTGTCAAGTTAATACATAGAATACAACGAAATTTTTGTCTCTGATCTTTCCGTAATGTGTTTGCTTCTAACAGCATGCTTGGTGAAAAAAATCTTCCACTCATTTATTTTTATCATTTGGACATATTTTTTTTCTCTTCAATGTTTTCTTTCTTCTCCTTCTTACCCAAAAGCATAATGAAAGGATACTACATATTCAATGTTGTATGTCAAATTTACATGACTTAAGAAAGCATCAGGAGCTGGAGCGATAGTACAGCAGAAAGGGCGTTTGCCTTGCATGCGGCCAACCTCGGTTCGATTCCCAGCATCCCATATGGTCCCCCGGACACTTCCAGGAATAATTCCTGAGTGCAAAGCCAGGAGTAACCCCTGTGCATTGCCAGTGTGACGCAAAAAAAAAAAAAAAAATCAAACAAAAAACATCAAACCAGCTGTTTGGGAATTGTTTGATTTGTTTTTGTTTGGGTGCCACACCCCATGGTGCTTCTAGCTTACTCCTGGCTCTGTGCTCAGGGGTCACTTCTGGTCGTGCTTGAGGACCCTGTGGAGTGCTGGGGATTGAATCTGGTTTGGCCGGATGCAAGTGCCCTACCCTCTGTGCCACCACTCTGGCCTTTGTTGGGTGTTTTTCATCCTATGACATGTTTGTGCCAAGTTAAGGAACAGTTCCTTTTTCTTCTTGCCTCCCAGTGGTGCTTGCCGGCAATGATGAAGTCAGTTTCTTCCCCGTGGAGATAAAGAGCTTTATGTGCAAAGCTGTTAGTTAGTAACTGCTGCAGTGGGCTCTCTTAGGGTGTGCGCTGCATTGGCTGCCTTAGTCCTCCCTCCCCGCTGGCTGTCTTCATCTCTCTCCCTGTGTGCTCTTCAGCTCGCGCAACTCTTGGCGGAACTGAACTCCATGCCAGATTTCTTCCCTGTGCGCACCCCGACCTCGGCCACGGTAAGTGGAGCACCTCACTGCGACGGGTGCCTGTCCCCAGTGTCGCGGCAGCCCTGTGGGTGTCGGTTGCAGAAAGCACCCAGGGGTGTCCCTCTGTCTCTGCCTTACAGAAGAGGAAGACGTCCCGGCGGGCCTTCTCCGAGGGACAGCTCCCCCGGCGCATGAACCCCACACGGAGCGCACGGCCCCCCGAGAAGTTTGCACTGGAGAACTTCACAGTCTCGGCCACCAAGTTCGCAGAAGAGTTTTATGGTTTCAGGAGGAGGAAAACCATCAGTGGGGTATTTCCCGACTCTTACCCAGCTATTCTTTGTCTCAGCCTCAAAAGTAAATAAGCATCAGGGTCACCTACCAGGTTGTGAAAGTCAGGGATTCTGCCCCTGCTTGGCCGCCCCTGGGAAGTGAGGTTCCACCAGGTTCCCAGGGGCTGGCCACAGCAGGTGTCCAGAGCGTCCTTTCTTCAGGCGAGCCCCTTGCTCGCACCCTCTGGGAAGCAGGGAAGGTCTCTTCGCAGGGCCAGTCCGCCTGCTGGTCTTGAATGTGGGAAAGGACAGTGAGGCTCCCTGGTTGGAGCAACAGGTGGATTCAAGCAGGACCTTTCTGTCGGGAGGGAAATCCTCAAACCCGGCCTGTGGTTGGTCTGACTCTCCCGAACAGTTTGTGGGCTGGCTTCAGAGTTCATTGCCAGAGCCCAGTGACCAAGGAAGGGCTCCAGAGAGATGAAATTGGAGACTGGTACAGGAGGAAAGGTGCTTCCCTTGTGTAATGATCCCCTGAATCCCACCAGGGGTCAGCCTGAGTCAGGAATAATAGCCCCTCTAAAGGGGACACGGGTATCAGTGACGGAGGTCAGCGGGTTCGGGCTGCGTCATGGTATTTTCTCCAGAGATGCTTAGCTGGGCTCTTGCGTTGATTCTTGCAGGGGAGATGTCAGGGGTACAGACGACGCTGCCGGATATCTTCATTTCGGCCCGTGGAGGATATCACAGAAGAGGATTTAGAAAATGTGGCCATCACTGTCCGAGATAAGATCTATGACAAAGTCCTTGTAAGTGTTGTCTGATGAGTAATTTGCTGCATGGCGATTCTTATCAGGCAGACCACACAAAGGGTATTTGAATCCCTACTCCTGGTTACCTTCCTGGGGCATGGAGGAGGTGCCAGGGGTATGATGTATAATAAGAAAGAGCATAGCCAGGTATAGCCCCAGTTTCTAAATATTTTTCACATTAAAATATATAGTTTTTGCTTGAAAAATCTGGGACTTGGCACAAGAGCAATAGTACCGTGGGTAGGGTTCTTGCCTTGCATGCAGCTGGCCAGGGTTTGATACCTGGCACTACACATGGTCCCCTAGCCTACTAGGAGAAAGGCCTGAGCATCACTGGGTGTGGCCCATGAAACAGAAAAAAATTATCCTCAGGCTGGGAACAATACGGCAAGTAGGGTGGTTGCTTTGCATGCCAGAAGCCCTGGGTTCAGTTTCCAGCACTGCCAAAAGTGAATCCTGAGTACCAAGCTGGGAAGAGCCTCCAAACCCTGGCAGATGTACCCCCTTAAAACAATAGTAAAAAAATGGGAGTTTGGGGCCAGAGAGAGCGCACAGTGGGCAGGGTGCTTGCCTTGCATGCGGCTGCCCCAGGCTGAGAGGCTCTGGTGCTCCATATGGTCCTATTGAGTCCACCAGGCATAATGCCTGATTACTGCTGGGTGTGGCGCAACAAACAGAGATCAGGGGCTGAGTAATATGTGACCCACAGAAAATCAGGCTTGACGGACAGTTCGACAGGTCGGACTAGATTAGAGGCTCCTCTTAAGCCGTGATTTAGAAGGGAGACCCAATGTTGTTCTGCACCGTTTTGTGGATGAACGATGGGCCTCACTCATCACCTATGTCTTCAGATAGCAGTAAGCTATCTCAGACTGAAGCCAAGGTCTTTAAACCCAGAGACTTTGACACTGGGAAGCCTGCAGCCTGCTGGCACCAAGCGCTTGGAGCCCCGTCGTGGTCTGGGCTCTTTGCCTTTGGCCATTGCGGGAGATGGGCCGTGCCTCTCTCGCGATGCCCGCACTTGCCCACCCTCTGCGTCCTCTCCCTCCGCAGGGCAACACTTGCCACCAGTGCCGTCAGAAAACCATTGATACCAAGACGGTGTGTCGGAACCAGGGCTGTGGCGGCGTGCGCGGGCAGTTCTGTGGGCCGTGTCTGCGGAACCGCTATGGGGAGGACGTGAGGTCTGCGCTGCTGGACCCGGTAGGAACAGGGGGGTCACTGTGGCGCTCTCCCCTCCCTGTATCTTACCTGGCCCTGGAGGAAACAAAAAGTGGGCTGGAGGGATAGTACAGAGGGTAGGGCATTTGCCTTGCACGTGGCCAAGCTGAGTTCTAATCCCCAGCACCACCAAGAGTAATTTCTGAGTGCAGAGCCAGGAGTAACCCCTGAGCATCGCTGGGTGTGACCCAAAAAGCAAAAAAAAAGTGGGGTTCCTTCTAGGACCAGCAAAGGAGAAGCTGTGTTTTCCAGCGTCACACATTCCTGGTCCAGATAGGCGTCCCTGGGTTCTCCGTCATATCTCTCAATGGTGTTTCCTGGCGTGTGAGGCATTTCACCCTACACAGTGGGTCTGTGATGCACCCCTGACTCCCTCCGTAAGGAGTAACAGTGACCTTGAACCCGGACACTCTGCTCTCACCAGCAGAGAGCAGGAAGAAGTGTGACCAAGAGGCTGCTCCGGTTTAGTGACAGTAGAACATCCAGAGTGAGATTCTATGCCTGGGGTGTCTCATTCATGGTCTGGAGGTGCCTAAAGCCAGGGCCAGCTTCTCTGAAATACATGGACCAGTACTGAGGAGACCAGCTTCCTCTCACCACTGCCTCAGCAGAGGGGATAATAGGTTTTTCTGGCCTTGCTCAAAAGAGGGGGGTGGGGTGGGGCAACTCATTGATCCAGCTGAAGGTGGCGGGAGCTCCTCGGGTTTTCTGGAGGTCGAGGGGACCCCTGGATGGAATTGAGCCTGTGCCCTCTTTTCCCCAGGACTGGATGTGTCCCCCTTGCCGCGGAATTTGCAACTGCAGCTACTGTCGGAGGCGCGATGGCCGCTGTGCCACTGGGATCCTCATTCACCTGGCCAAATTCTACGGTTATAATAACGTGAAAGAGTATCTGGAGAGGTAAGTCTGAGAGGCCCAGCCTGGAGGTGGTCACTCCCAGTCAGGCTGATGAGTAGGAAACCCTCCCTTACTCTCCCCCTACCCCTGCCCTCCCCTGGCATCACACATTTTTCCTTTCTGTATCTGCTGGCACTAGGGAAGCTCAGGACTGATCGTTTCTGGATAAGAAATTGTTCCAGGGTTAGAATACTTGCCCCTCATGCAGGACAGCTGGAAGGAATGTCCTGGGCAACTCCAGTGTTCCGCTTGGAGTCCTGGGTTGTTAAGCCTCTCGCCAGAATTCCTTCCTGGGGGACACTTTGTCACTTGGTCTCCTCTCTTCTCAGCTTACAGAAGCAGCTGGTAGAGGACAATTGAGGACCAGCCACTTCAGCAGGGAGAGAACATGCCATACCGTTTGTGCCTGAGATTTCCTGCAAGTTTCTTTCCCGCCCTCCCCTACACAGAAAGTCTCTGTAGTACTACTACTTTTTAGAAGCTGTTAATATGCATGTAGATGCTTATAAAGATTTCTCAGGAAGTCCGCACCGCAGTCTCTATGCAGACCTATAGACACAGACCTGTTTGATTATTGAAATGTTAAAAGCAGATGATTAAAATGCACAGTTCCAATGTATTGGAGGTAAAGTGGGTTTTCGAGAAAGCATTGTATAAACAAAAAAGCTCTTGCCTTTGAACACTGGTTAATTATATTTGTTGCCTTGATCTTTTTTATGTCCCGCACAGCAAACCTGGGCCCAGTTTCTACTGAGGTGTCCTAGCCCCTTTCGTTTCATCTCTGACCAGCCAGGGACCACGCAGTCCCAGTCACCTAATTTCCCTGGTCTGGCAGCACTGGGAATTGATCCTGAAGAATGTTCCCCTAAGCTCATTAACCAAGTGCAATTAACCAGAGAACTTGAACATACTCAGAATTTTTATTTTTACTAAAACTTGAACTGAAAGTGGATTTTGGGGTTCCTGGAGGGCCCCTCCCCCCCGGAGTGCCGCCTTTTCATTCCGGATTTGCCTGCTGCTTTGTTTGTGCGAAAAGTTCCCTGGGAGGGATGCTGCCTCCTCCACGATGAGGAGTCCCTGGAAAAGCTAAAAATCAATGTGGAGATTCCCAATAGATTTTCCACCCCCCTCAAGGTTAGTGTTTGGGGGGAAAAATAATGCCCACTTGAGTGCTATAAGCCGGGGTCTCTGTATCATCCTTGTGAGAGGGTGCACATATAGGGGCTCACATGTCCGGGTCAGGCCTGTAGCAGGAGCGCCACGCCCGCCAGCACCCATTTGGCCGGCTTCTCTTTGCTCTTCAGCCTGAAGGTCCAGACGTAGGTGGGTCCCCTAGATTTGGTTCTGTACACAGGGCACTCGTAGGTGTTCTTGGTCTCCTGCCTGTCCACAGGGATGGCTCTGGTGAAGATGACGGGCATCGGGGACGTCAGCTCCTTGAGGCGGGCCTCCGCGATGTTGCCCGCCTGCGCATCCCACCGGGCACCTGGGGTAGAGGGTTTAGCATTGGTCATACTGAGCTCACTGTTGCTGGCAATAAATGTTCTGTTTTGTCACATTTCTGGTCAGTGGCTTTCTTACGAGCTGTCCAACACAGCTCTTCGCGCCTGTCCCTAAAGCTTAAACTCTTCTCTCTGAAAAGTATTAGCAAGGAGCATCCTCAGGCAGAGATCAAGGACAGCAGATAGGCTGATGCTGGAGCTGTGATTTGTGTTTCACACCATCCATCTGATGGTGTCATTAATAGCACCGAACTAAAGGGCAATAAAAAATATGGGTTGACAGTAACCATTTCCCATGGGCCATCCCACTGCAAGCCGCCAGTGGTAATGCACCTATGCCAACATGGTAAACTTAAGAGTCCAGATTCAGAACTCATTTCACAACACCTGCACGGTAGGTAACCCAGGACCATCTGAACAGTGCCTGTGAGCAAGGAGTTCCCTTGCCGACTAGGACAGCAGCTTGCACACTTGCCCCTGGCTGATCTATCTGAAAAGGATCACAGTTTTCCCCACCTACTTTCCCCATTAGAGTTCTTTGTGTAGTGGCATCTGCAGAGGCTCAGGGAAATCTCAGAGTAAAAGCTCAGAATGGGGCTGGAGTATGTGCATGCAGCCGATGGCTGGTATCCCATTTGGTACCCTGAGCATTGCTGGGTGTGGTACCCCTGCCCCGTAGAGTGAAGTAGCAGTTAGGTAATAAAGGGTGGAAGGGAAATTTGGTGGCGGGGGCAGAGGCCACTCCTGGTGATACTTGGTCACACCAAACAATGCTTGGGATACCGTGCGTGGTGCTTAGGATGCCAGGCTGTCCTGTGTTCTAGCCCCCGTTAAAAAGGAGCTAAGTGTAAAATTAATTTTACTTTTTTGCCCACACCCGGCGTTGCACAGGGGTTACTCCTGGCACATGCACTCAAGAATTACTCGTGGCGGTGCTTGGGGGGGACCATATGGGATACTGGAAATCGAACCCGGGTCGACTGTGTGCAAGGTAAAAGCCCTACTCGCTGTGCTATCACTCCAGCCCCTAAGTATAAGTTTTAAATCCACACCTACAGCTATGTTTAAACGACAGCCGTTGCCCTAAAATGTGGTTTATACTTACACACACCCTGGCATTGAAACTTGGAAAGAGCAGGAAGTGAGATAACATCACCAGCTAATGCTAGTTGGCAGAGGACACGGACCTTACCAAGCTGAACAAGGTCCTGAGCAAGGAGGTCCTGGGTCGGGGGACTCTTACCTTCCATGAGGAGCCCGTGGAGATACGCGCCTTCCCTTGGGGGGTGGCCATAATCTTCCCTCGTCTTCTTGGTAACATCAACAGTCAGGCACATTTTATCCAGTGGCCACTCATTTTTTCGAGCCGTGGTCTGCATGATTGCTTTGAGGAATGGAGTTAGTTGGTTCTTAAAGGACTGCACTGGTCTCATAAGTTAGTTGTAGGGGCCGTGGGTGGTGGTGGGGGGAATTCCTGCTGGCAGATCTCGTGCAGTGGTTCAGTGTAAGGACCTAAGGGTGCTATGGTGTGGGGGACCACCTGGGCCAGTCCAGCAGTGCTTGATGGCTTTGAGAGCTACACTCAGCAGTGCTCAGAGGACCCATGTGGTGTTGGGGATTAGAACCAGCTCAGGCACATACTAGACATGTTCCCTAACTCTTCTCTACCATTTTCCCACCTCTCGTTTAAGTTCATTATTTTTGTTCAGTTTTTTGAGCCACACCCTGTAATGCTCAGGGGTTACTCCGGGCTCTGCACTCGGGAATTGCTCCTGGTGGTGCTCAGGGGACCATCTATGGTGCTGGGAAGCCAACCTGGGTGGACCATGTGCCAGGCAACTGCCCGGCCGCTGTACTATCACTCTGGCCCATGTTTCAATTCTGGCAAGTTAGCATATGGCTGCACTAGAGTTGAGTCTGCAACACCTGTGCTAGCATGACAGATTTTCACTGCAGACCTTCCTGAGGCAACACCAAAACAGTTTATTCTAAAACAGGGACACTGATTGGGGCCACACAATCTTGGGGTTCTCTTTGCCCTACCATGGCAGAATGCAGCCACGGGATGCACCACCGGTGGCCCTTCACAGAGAAAGCTTATTCCAGTGACCCGTGTGCCAGCTCCCTCTACTAACCCGTTAAGAAGGACTGAGGGTTGAAGAACCCAGAGAGCCAGACCACTGCCGGGAGCGCGAGGTCTTGCGTCCAAGTCTCGAGTTCGCGGCATCGTAGCAGGAGGTCACTGAACCTGGTGAGTAGAAAGAAGGCAGGAAGCGGTGAGCTTGCTTTCCAGTAATACAGAAGGTTGCCCACAAGATGATGAGGGGGACAGTGGAGGGTCAACTCACTGAGAGCCAGTGAGATGGTTAGCTGCTGGTTTTGCAGAACTTCTTCACTGTCAGGGGAGAATTTTCTTTTGTGTTGAGCTTTTAGGTCCTACAACCATTATACTATGAGGGACAAGGGGCCCTGGGGAATGTACAAAATTCATCTCCAGGGGGCTGGAGCGATAGCACAGCAGGTAGGGCTTTTGCCTTGCATGTGGCCAACCTGGGTTCGATTCCCAGCATCCCATATGGTTCCCCCCCCCCCCCCCCCAAGCACTGCCAGGAGTAATTCCTGAGTGTATTGAGCCAGGAGTAATCCCTGTGCAATGCTGGGTGTGACCCAAAAAGCCAAAAAAAAAAATCATCTCCATCTGATTTTATTTTCTTTTTCCCTGGGGTATGCATTGACTGCCCAGGGGTCTCTATGGGTGGGTGGGGGTGGGAGGGCTATATGTGAGTGCGGGGGAGAGTCTGTGCTGGCCAGAAGTGGGTCAGGCATACGGAGAGTTGTAGGTACCCCATGGGCAATCATTACCTGGAGGGAAACTGCACGCCTCCCCTCATGAGCTGCATGCCTGTGTTTGAGATCCTCCAGCTTCTGCCCTGCTTTGTCTAATTGGCATCACAATTGGCCCTGCAGTTAGCCTAGGAGGAAGCTGGCTCAGGGAGGCTAAGGAAAATGAAACCTAACCTAACTTGCAAAAGAGGGTTGCAGGGAAGGGGAAACCATTCCCTCTCACCCCCCCCCCCCCCCCCCCCCCCCCCGCTCCATCTCCCTAGCGTGAAAGCCACAGAATTCGGAGTGCTGGCACTGAGGTGGAGCAGGGGTCCCAATGAACCGCTTCAGGGAGCACAGCCCGGAGCAGCTGGCTTAGGGGGAAGGAATGCCGTCAACTCCCCAGCCTGCCTCACCCAAGGGGAAGTCCTGAGAACTCGGAGTGTGGCCTGGCCCACTACCCCATTCCTTGGAATGACTGCTGTGAGGGAAACACATTTGGAGGTAATGCAGAGGAGTCGAGAGGACCCTGTGTGACACGAACAGGACAAAGGTGACAAAGCAGCAAGGGCAGACTTGGACCTCATAGTGCTGCTGCAGGAGGCGGCAACACTTTGCGACCTGCTTGCATTTTCATTTTATGAGGACAAAAGGTTTGGTTTGGTTTTGGGTTTGGGTGCTACATTTTGCTCTGCTCAGAGCTTCAGGGCTTCAGCTATGCTCAGGGATCACTCCTGGTAGGTTTGGGGGGACCATATGGGGTGCCAGGATCAAACCATGAGTCAGCCATGTGCAAGGCAAATGCCTTACTTGCTGAGCTACCATTCCACCCCCTAGAAACATGTGTGTGTGTGTGTGTGTGTGTGTGTGTGTGTGTTGGTACTTTTAACAAAGCTCCACTTGTATGAAAAAGATTGTGAGGGTGAGAGAGATGGTACAGAGGTTATAGCACTGATTCTGCAGAAGTCTCACCAGGGTTTAACATCCGGCACCCCGAGTCACTGAGCACAGCTAGGAGTAAGCCTTGAATACAAGACTGTGATTATAAAGAAGCCCTGCGGCCATCCCATAACCATTGCCTGGTAAGCTACACAATTCTAAAATTCTGACATCCCAATAGGAACACACCAAATTAGATGAGAAAGTAACAGAGACTCCAACTCAGCTCAATAAAAACATTCACATAGAAGGTTCAGCTAGCAACAACTTAGTAAACCCTCAGACAAGGACTTAATGTCTCATGGTGAGATACAATACTGTCACTGTCCTCCTGTTGTTGTTCATCGATTTGCTCAAGTGGGCCCAGTAACATTGTGAAACTTGTTACTGTGTTTGGCATATCGAATACGTCACGGGGAGCTTGCCAGGCTTTGCCGTGCAGGCGAGATACTCTATGTAGCTTGCTGGGCTCTCCGAGAGGGGCAGAGGAATCGAACTCGGGTTGGCCGTATTGGCTGAGTGCAAGGCAAATGCCCTACTCACTGTGCTATTGCTCTAGCCTGAGATACAACAATTTTCACAAATTTTCTTTTGCTGAAGTATTTTTTGATAATTCCATTAGCCATTTAGTTGTAACAAGCAATAGAAAATGAACCATTTTCTACCTGTTAAGTGGACAGGTGTGGGGGTGGGAGTGGGAAAATGGGGATGATGGTGAAGGGAAGGTCACACTGGTGGTGGGGGCTCGTGCTGGAATATTGCATGCCTGTAACATGCATTATGAACAACTTTGTAAACGATGGTATTTAAATACAGAGAAAATAGATGAAAAGTAACAAGAGTGTGGTTAGAGGTAAAAGAAAAGGAAGAATAAGGGGGGGGGGGCGGCGAAGAGACAGCTCAGTGAGTAAGGCACTTGGCCTGCACATGGCCAACCCAGGTTTGATCCCCAGCTCCCCAGCTCCTGATCTCCTGAGCCATCAGGAGTGATCCCTGAGTGCAGAGCAGGAGTAAGCCCTGAGTACAGTCAGGTGTGCTAAGAAACAAAACAAAAACCTAAAAGGAAATTCAGCTGGAAGATAACCTAAGAAAAATTAAATTCTATACGTGAAAGTGGAAACAAAAGGGGGGATATGAAAGAAAAAACAATGAAACATAAAATGAAATAATTCTAGAAAATTTCTATAATGTGTTCAGCAAGAAAATCTGACACAGGACAGTCAATACCAAGATCTTGAAAGTTGCCCCTAGGACCCCTTGATGGATAAGAAAGATGAAAGGGCTGGAGTGATAGCATAGTGGGTAAGGCATTTGCCTTGCATGCAGCCAATCCGGGTTCAATTCCCAGCATCCCATATGGTCCCCTGAGCACCGCCAGGAGTAATTCCTGAGTGAATGAGCCAGGAGTGACCCTTATGCATCGCCGGGTGACCCAACAAAAAAAGCCTTTCACAAAGGGCTTTCATAAGCAGCTTCTTATGGAAGAATGAAACCAGCTTCTGGGTTTGCAGCACAGTATTGGAATAGATAAGAATAATGCCCTACAGAGTCCAGGAGGCAAGTCTTATGACCTGCCCCACTGGCCTCTTGTATAGAGTTTAGGTTGTCCATTGGATGTCAAAAACTGCCCACAAATCCAACAAACAGGAATGCTGATAAAGCAGTAATGGAGACTTAGGAATGTGAGCACAAGACTTAGTAAGGGGGGCTGGAGATAGTATAGTGGGTAGGGCACTTACATTGTAGCCAACCTGGGTTTGATCCCTGGCACCTTACCTAAGGTCCCCCAAGCACCACCAGGAGTTATCCCTGAGCACAGAGCTGCAAATAAGCCCTAACCATGGCAAAAAACCAAAACAACACCCCCCCCCAAAAAAAAACTACGTGTCAGGTTATATAGGAGAAAAATAGTCATAAAAACAAAATTATAAAGCTAAGTGAGAGGATGTCCAGCCTGGCACATTTAAACAACAGTGAACTGGAAAAGTGACAATGAAACTTTAAAAATGAGGTGGAGAGAGGGGCTGGAGGCATAGTAGAGAAGGCGGGGGCTTGCTTTGCATGCAGTTGACCCAGATTTGATTCCTGGCACCACATATGGTCCCCTGGGCCACCGAGGGTGATCCCCGAGTGCACAGCCAGGAGTAAGCCCTGAGCACTGCCCTAAGCCATGACCCAAAAACCCAACCCTCCCCAGCCAAAAAATGTGGGGAAAGTCCATCGAGAGAGTTAAAGAGGTGAGTGGTGGTTTTGGGTGTGGGACCCCTGAGTTTGGTCTCCAGTGCCACAGGTGCCCCAAGCACCAGTGGGTCAGGACAGCATGACAGAAAAACTAGCAGAGTTTTCTTGGAGCTAAAGAGAAAGTGAAAATTACTTAGAATTAACTTGGAATTGCAGAGACAGACGGAAAATGGGAGAACTGAGGTGGAGGACTACTCTGAAGACAGGGAGGTGACAGAATGAGAAGAATTTCTCAGTGGCAGCAAAGGGTCTGCTCACATCTACAATGGCATGTTGTGCCAGGGAGACACCCCTAAATAAAGAGTTCTGTAAAGTAAGGTAAAGAGAAGAAGCTTTCGGACTTCCTAGAGAGAACAGACCACTTATGACACAGGACAGGTGCAATGACAGCCTTGTTAACCGCAGTCAATGCAGTAAGACACGATAGTGGACTCCTAATGCTGGAAAGCTGAGGGAAAGTAACGGTGCCCTAGAGTTCTGCGCATAGGCAGTGTGGGGACCAGAATACCGCCGCTGTGCTACATATGGATACCGAATGCCCTGCTGTGTATTTTTCTAGTGAAGAGATAGAGTTGGGCATATCAAACAAGCCCAGAATACAATACGAAAAAGTCACTGTCATTGTCTTCCCATTATTCATCGATTTGCTCAAGTGGGCCCACTAACATTGTGTGACTTGTAACTGTGTATGGCATATCAAATACGTCATGGGTAGCTTGCCAGGCTTTGACATGCGGGCGAGATACTCTAGGTAGCTTTCCGGGCTCTCTGAGAGGGGCGGAGGAATCGAACCCGGGTCGCCTGGGTCGGCCACGTACAAGGCAAACTCCCTACCCGCTGTGCTATCGCTTCAGCCATGCGAAAAAGTAACTGAAGAAAAAATATATATTTTTTTGCTTTAACAACTCAAAATATATTTTGAGCAAAAAATAATGATGTTGACCATAAAAATGCTAATGGTTACAATAACATTGTAAATAATAAAGCTGAAGAAGAATTCAGGAAAATAGGCTGGGAACCAAACCAGCAGTTAAGGAAGACAAGTGGGTTGCAAAAATTAAGTGGTGTAAATAGGTCTCAAGTTAGTGTAGATCTAAAATTGAAATATAAGAGCCAGATAAATTGCCTTGTATAATGTGTTAGGCCGCCCTGGGTTTAATCCCTGGTACCACACAAAAAAGGAAAAAAAAATCAAAATAAAATTCCTGTTTTCACTGTTTACATCTAGTGCTCAGGGCTCAGTCTTGGCTCTGAGTGCAGGGATCACTCCTGACAGTGCTCAGGGGCCCATATTGGGTGCTGGGGATTGAACCAGGGCAAGCACCTTACCCCTGTACTGTCTCTGGGCCTTAAATACTTTGTTTAGTTTTGGGGCCACACCAGGCGGTGCTCAGGGCATACTCCTGGCTCTGTGCTCAGGGATCACTTGGGGATCATACTGAGTTCTGGGGCTAGAACCTGGGTCAGCTGTATGTATGATAAGCACCTTACCCTGGTACTATCTCTCCAGTCCCTTTGCTGTTTCTTTTATTGGGAATATAAAGTACAACTTTCAATATTCATAGCGTTAACAACTTTTTGAAATTCAAGTAAAAGACTTGTTTCTGAAGGCACTTATGACCTCCTGGTCTTCATTTCTGTCCACACACATTCCATCTGCAAACACCTGGGGCTGTGTGCAGGGAGTGGGGGGGAGGGGAGCTGTGAGGGGCCTTTCCAGCTGTGTGTCATCTGGAAATCTAATGGGACCTTCCATGGAAGGCTCAGCCTTAGGGAGGCTTGGGGAATTCATGGAAGGAAGTTGCAGGAAGGGGATAAGCCCAGAACAGACACAGGGGCAGAATCTGAATCTTGCTCTAACTCTGATTTTAAGTCATCCCTGCCCTTTACGCCAAAGAAAACTCCAGTGGAACTGGGGGCAGTTTGCCCTCTTGTGGCCTGAGCACCATCACAAAACATTGTCTCCATGGCCCTCAGGAGGCCAAATTCAGCACAGCAGGTCAGTCTTGAGGGGAGTAAAGGGCCAGCACGGAGCCAGATGGACTCACCACTGTGCCAGGCCGTATGTGGACGGATATGCCAGTTTGCTCCAAGAGTCCGGGACTGCATCATAACCCAGCGAGGCCTGCTGGGCTTCCAGGTCAGGGGACAACGTCAGCTCCCCCTGGAGTTGAAAGAGAAAGCCTCAGTTTCCCCTTTGCCCACTTCTGCTTGTGGGTCCATTTTATTTAGCTGACTTAACTCTACATTTTCAGCATTCTGCAAAGTCCTGGACTCTGAGACTGAATAGATTACACTTTCCCAAGACCATAAATTCTGCCCCAGCAGAACTTGGGCTCACAGACCAAGAGAATATGGGGCCAAAACCGAGGTATCTGGTAAAAAATAACATAAGCTAGTAGATCTGAAATAGACCCCAACAGCCTAACTGGAATGCAACACGCTCATTTTACCTTAACAAGAAATACAGGCCCTAAATTAACAAGACATCTCTGGGAAACAGGAATACTGATTGTTTGGTAACAAGTAGACCCAGTTTTCCTATACGCCCCACCCCAACAAGCCATTCTTAGTCCTACCCTAAGTTCCTCCCCTGCTGGGGAGTTATTTTTTCCTCTTCTACTTTCCAATAAACTTTTTTTTGTTGTTGTTTTTTGGGTCACACCCAGCGATGTTCAGGGGTTCCTCCTGGTTTTGCTCTCAGGAATTACTCCTGGCAGTGTTTGGGGGACCATATGGGATGCTGGGAATTGAACCCGGGTCAGCCGCATGCAGGCAAATGCCCTATCTGCTATGCTATTGCTCCAGCCCCTCCAATAAACTTTTCTATTTTTCTGACTCTGAGCCTGAACATCTTCATTACTCAGTATTTCCCATCTTGGACATGTTGAAGATCCCAGGAACCATGGATGGACACAGACCCGCCATGAGTGCTCCTACATCAGGGGGGCTCGGATGGCTACACAGTGACTATCTGCCCCGAGGCAAAACCACGGCCAGTCCCCATTGGGAAACGTACCTTCAAACCAAGGTCTAATTGTTGAAGTGATACTTGGATTTCCCGAAGGAGAATGTTCATCCTCTCACATTCTTGGAAGCACACGAGAACGTAGGGACTCCTACTGGGATTTTTCTGCATTATTTCTGCCATGTTGAATTCTTCTGGAAGTTTCTCCAAAATGTCATCCAAGACATTCTTAACCTTACACACATACACACACACACAACATCACACACACACATCACACACACAACATCACACACACACACAACATCACACGAGAGAGAGAAAGAGAGAGAGAGAGAGAGAGATTTAGAACCTTCTGATTTCATGTTTGGTCACTGTGAATATATACTTACTTTTAAGTGTCATAATATGACTGCCAGAAACAGCTGCTAACCTTTAAAAGGTGTATGCAGAGCAGCACTGCCAGCCCCCTGCCCTCCTTAAAGACCCCAGCCTAGTCTGGGAGGAGTAGCTAGTGACAGTTTATGCAATGCTCAGGGAAGGTAAGAACTCATCAGCTAACGTTCATTTGTACGTAAAGATGTAATCAGATGAAACAGAACCTCGACTGTGGGTATTGCATTTTTGTCTTCTATACTCTGCTCCTGGAAAATGTCATTCAAGAAGTCACATGCACCAAGGAGGCCCTTGAGTGTGAGCAATTCTGGTGGCTTATGCTGCCTTCTTGATAACTTTGGGGGGCAGTTAAGATCTTTATTCTCAACAGCCTGAATATCACTTTTCTATAGTTGTGTTGAAAAAATAATCTTTCTGGGTGTTGTGACTGAGTATATAATCTGTTTTCCATGAAAGTCCACAGGGCAGGGGAATCTAACATATATTACATCCCCCCAACCCCCATATACAGCATACAGATTGTAGAGCAGTGCCTGCTTTTCAGCTTTATGCTGTATACCTGCTTTCCTTGATTTTTCAGATTACTGCCTGTAGTTTTTTTGGAGTGGAGCACACTGCGGTTCTTAGAGATCAGTCCTGACAGGCCTCGGGGGACTATTTGGGGTGCTGCGGATTATATCTGGGTCAGCGCATGTAAGGCCAATGCTCTACTCGCTGTCTTATCACTCCAGCCCCACTGCCTTAAGATACGATCACAAACTTGCAAGTTGCCTGGCATCCTGGACTAGGGCCTCCTCCACCCAGATCCCCCATATTCCAGTATGTAGGCATTACACCCACCAACTGCCCCTGGTGCCATGCAACAGCATGAATGAACCTCACAAATACGATGTGGAGCCAAAGGAGCCAGGCATCGGTGGGTACACACTGTACAGTCATATGTGTATTGAAGTTCAAACATGAAGTTAATCCAGTGATAGGTGTGGTAGAGTGTGGAATGATGTGTAAGCTGGGAGTGAGTATGTGTTAGTTATCTTTTGGAGTATTAGAAATGTTCCTATTTAAATCTGCATGGGGCTTATAGGGGTACATACAAAGGTAGAGTTAGTGCAGTTGGATCCAAGATTGGTGGACTTTACCACACATACACTATTATGCTTTAACGAAAGGAAAGGCCTTCTCCTACCTTTTCTTCAGTGGACTGCCCCAGCTCCTCACTGCCAAGTGCATTCCTGGGCTGCATCTCCAGTAACGTACGGAACAGAGTGTTGGACATCACTGTGAGGAACTCGATTTCAGCATTTGGGTGGAGGCCATACAGTGTGGGGCTTTCTGGAGGAAGCTGCTCCTCTATGTACTGGTGATAGCCCAAATAATCCAGATCTGGTGGGGCTGCAAAGCCAGGGGCCAACATAAGCTCATCTTCAATCTTCGATCACAAAGGAAAAGTTTGTTAATTCAAAAGGTGCACCAGGCATTGTTTCCTGTATGCTTGCTAAAGAAGGTTTCAGCACAGAACTGGGTCAGTAGCAGGCTTCCCTACCCTTTCCCCCAGTGAATCATTCTTTGTTTATGGCAGCAGTTCTTTGCGAAAACTCCATGGAACACACATAAAGACACAGATTCTGTTCCAAAGTACTGCTTTCTGAAGAACAGATTCTGTTCTTCACAGTATTGCTTTAAGCTATTTTATATGTGGTGCATAGGAATACAAAATAATTATACATGCATCTGCTGAAAAAATATGCGTGTAAGAGTATGTAATGGACACTTTATAGGGCAGTATTTTCTGAGCATTGCTAGGGTGGAATCAGTGTTGCTCATCTCAAGAACCCCAAGTCTCCAAGACAGCTCTAACACCTAGTGGTATTCAATGCCTGGTGCCCAAGAAATGAAAATCTGGAAGAGTCTTGCAGATTTTTACTTGACTGAGCTGGGGAAGAAGGCTGACAGTCATTCTGGAGGCAAGAATACCAAATCTTTTCAACATTCCAATGTAATTCTTCAAAGCATAATGAAAGCATTTATGGGTCTGACTCTCCTGAACAGTCATAGACAGTCAATCAAATCCTTATAATTTTCTAGTAAACTTGAATAATTTCATATTTTTCTTGGGTTGTTTTTCACTTTCAGAGACAATTATTAAACATGTTTTGATTTTTTTCAGTCTCATATAAATTTGTTCTATATGTATTTAATGTTACTTTCTAAAACTGTCACCTTATGGACCTATTTTATGCCTAGGTTTTCTCAATTATTTTCTTAAAAGTGATTTTTTTTCTCTATGATTAGATATGCTTTGTCACACACACACATACCTACCATACCCCAACAGGAAAGGAAGCCTATCCTCTCTGTCATTTGGAGATAAAGTCACTATTCATTATCTCCTGCAATAAAATATATGCTGATCATGAGTGTCCCCATAGGTCTTGGAGGTAAGAACCACTCTTATGGCCTAGTCTAATAGTCAAGGGGCTCCTGGTCTAATAGGGACAGAGCAAGTATGATTTCTTGTTTGTTTTGGGGCCATCTGGGCTGTGATCAGAGTCTATTCCTGGCTTGAGGATCAGGAAATCACTCCTGGTGGGCTCTGGGGACCATATGGGATGCTGGGGATCCTGGGTCAGATCCAGGCAGGTGCTTTTTCTACTGTACTATTTTTCTGATCCCACATGTATGATTTTCTACAGCCCGCCAGCTCCAGTCTGCAATCCCAGACTGGTGGAAAGCCTACATGCTCAGATATGACCTCATTTTCTGTTTGTATCCCAAAAGGCATATAAAATAATCATGGCCAAAAAGCCAGCACAAAGTGATAAGGTGTTTGTCCATTCGATCGATCTGGAATCATTCCCTGGCACCGCATATGTTTCCTGAGCACAGGAAAAGGAGTGATCCCTGAGCACAGCCAGGTGTTGTACTACACACACACACACACACACACACACACACACACACACAAAATCAGGAATAAGAAATATGTCTGAACTGCACTTTACTTCCCTAAACAAGGATTAGATCTTCTTTGATAAAGAGTTTATTAGGGGAGGGGGCTGGAGTGATAGCACAGCGGGTAGGGTGTTCGCCTGCACGCAGCTAACCTGGGTTTGATTCCCAGCATCCCATATGGTCCCCTGAGCACCGCCAGGGATAATTCCTGAGTGCAGAGCCAGGAGTAACCCCTGTGCATCGCCAGGTGTGACCCAAAAAGAACAAAAAAACAACAGAAAAGAGTTTATTAGGGGAGAGAAATTCTAAAAACCTTTGTTAATTTGCCCTTCACAGACAAAAAATGTTAAAAACAGAGTTTCAAACCTCTGAAGCTAACCTGGGGTGGTCTCCTAACAGTGCATGGGTTAATGACATGCTGAGCCTGAGTCTGATCTGGGCACTAGGTGACATCACTGAGTCGCATCACCTGCTGTGGTGCCCTTGGTCCCCGCCACCACAGGCTGCAGAAAGACCACATTCTCCAGCCTGTGCAGTAACATATTGATGTCAGGGGTTCAATTTGTGTTATTCAAGTCACATCCAAGTGTCATCCACCTGGTGGTATACACCAGCATTAAGGTGTTAAGCTTCCAGCCCATCTGACCTAATGTCACCCCAGTTTGAAAAAACTGTCCCAGAGCAAACAAATATACTAATTTCCATGTCAGTTAAATTGATGTGGGGGAATGGCTGAGAGATGTCCTGAGATTGAAGTGTTTTTTCCTAATAATATAAGGCTCCCAATAACATAAGCAAGAAGAATAGGAAAAATTTGCAAACAAACTGGAGTGTTGCAGTGCTGGATATTAAGTGTGTGGGTGTATGAGTTCCTTTAGTGGACTGGCAAAGAAAATGGGCAAGAAAATGGTTTGACCCTGACAACCTCAACAGATCTCCAAGGATGAGCAGATCCTTAAATTTCACAAAGGCAAATATATTCGTTAGTGATGCCCCTCCACTTTCATCATCTAAGTTTATTTCATGATTGTTTGAATGGGAGTTCAGGCTGGTGAAGGTTAATGGATGGATTCCTCTGGCACAGAAATTCTCTTCTTACCCTCAGGCCTTCACCTTCACCACCATTGGGAGAAATTGGCCTCCCTATAAAAGTCTTGTTCCCAGGCTGCTGATATTTCCCATCTCCATGGTAACATGCTCCTAGATGTCTTCTGAGGAGTGACTTCTAATTGTGTTCAACTGAAAGTGCCTTTCTAACCTGTGAAATCTTATGCATGACCATAAGGAAAGGCCAAGAATTCACAATCAAAATGAATACTTAAATGGCGGTCATATGGAAGAAGAGTACTATTCTTGATTTCAAGACAAATTATTTAACATTATTAAAAATGGTTAAAAAATACTGCCCCCAATTTTATGTTTAGGCCATATAGTTTTATATGATTAGAAGTGGAATGAAATGGACTGGAGGATACAAACAATATAATTGCTTCATAAAATAAAATTCTCTGATAAATCTTAACAGCAGGTCTTGCAAACTATTAAAGATACAGGGCACTGCTCTTAATACTCAATGTCTAGTCCAACAAGAAGTAGACATGCCACAATATAGGATGCCTTGGGTTTCTGAGAAATTACCAGGGTGGCCATAAATCTGGAAACCACTTTAGAAGGAGAGAACATGAGAAAAGAGTAGTCATAATTTCCACTACTTCAATATGAAAAATAAAGGCTGAATACTTTGTCAGAAAACAGACTTAATTAAAAAAAACTATGTGAGTGACAGGTCTGTAGACAAAGGGCAGTAAGATGGGAAAAGCGTGCATAGTTTCTTTCAAATTTAGTATAAAAGAGCCCTACTCTTTCCACAGAGAAGGAAGCACATCAAATAAGGACATTTTTCTTGAGCATTATCTAGATGAGAAGTGAAAAATCTAGAATATTCTATGACTTGGTCACATAAAAAATTCAGTAACTTGAGCACAACTTTCTTGTGCATGTATCTAGTTGAGTGATGAAACATCTAGAATATTACATGACTTGAGTGACACTGATTTCATAGTCCTCAAAACCAAAAGAACTATGTTCTGGATGGGAAATCTTTCATGCTGACTCGGTGTCCTGGGGAAATTACCATGCCTAGGTCCTTTCTCTAGACAATGCATTAACAGTGTCACTTCTGTGAAATCCCAGGGTTACTCCAAAGACCCTGTATGATTCTGGTTACAGAAGTCTAGGCTGCCACCCAAAATTCTGCACTTTGAACAAGTGACCACACCCTCTTGAAGGTGGGCCAGACTAACTCACAAATATTCGAGAATCTGCAGTGATAGCATTCAAGAATGTTCTACACAGCACAAACCTAACTTTATAGATGTTCACCAGAATTTTCTCCTCACTCAAAAAAAAGGAGCTTACCAGAGAAGGATTCATGAATTCTTCTAAATATGCCCGGCACAGTTTGCGATCCCAGTCATCTGTGATGTGGCCCCCATACATGATTTCACCAAAGAGGTAACGCAGGTCTTCCCAGGGGACCTGGGTAGGGGATAGAACATCAAAGAATTTACTTCAGGGCCCAGGACATCTGCCTCAGAACAGCCAACCAGTACTTCAGGCTCTCTCTAAATCCCTGGGACCATTGCTCCAAGCCATGTTCCACAGATTATTTAAAACAGGCTCAGAAAGTAAGTTCCTGCAATGAATTCCTTGGGAGAATTCTTGTCTATGTATTTTAGCATCATGAAGTAAAAATTCACCTGTTTCTTAAATTTTAATGCTAAATGGAGTTAATTATTTCTAAAATATGCTAAGCAATCATTTACATATTCAAAATTCCCTTCCAAAAATGATGGTGGGATGTGGGATCCCAGGGCCCTTAAGGTCTGACGAGTTTTCATAATTCAATTTATAGCAGGTTTCTTGGCATTACTTGTGTGAATATTCTTTCAGTCAGGGGCACTGAGATAAGAGACAAGAGAGAAATGAGATTTGCTGGAGAGGCTCCTTGCTCGCTCTGGCAGAGAAGTGGCGAAGAAGCATCTCATGATCTCTTTTTTTTACTATCCTATGTACACACATCTAATGCACTCAGTACAAAGAAAGCATTAATGGGGAAAGGGGGTTATAGAAGGGACATGGAGACATCAAGGCTACATTGTTCTGTCACTTCTGCAAGCCCAGTGGTCCAGCCTCCAGAGAAGAATGCAAGGCCAAGCAGTCTGGCACCATGAACTACAGCCCCTTGCACCTGGAGTGATAAGGGCATGTGAGAGAGTGTCTGCATTCCAAAGCTGAGTTAGGGATCTGTGAGAAAGGGAAGACTGCTTCTATGTAACACTAAGAGCTAAAAGGCAGCGAAGGGAAGAGATGTTAACCCTTTCCCAACCAATTCGGACACACGAGTCATGGCTTGCCCATTTTCATGGGGCCTCTGTTCCTGCCCTCTTGCGGGTCAGTCTCCATAGGCTCATCCTAACAGTTCTGGTTGGGCACCAACATATTACACTGGGAAAATACCCACTGTAACTTGACTTTGGGGTGTATCAGAATTTCATCACCTCGGGGGCTGGAGCAATAGCACAGTGGGTAGGGCGTTTGCCTTGCATGCGGCAGACCCGGGTTCGATTCCCAGCATCCTATATGGTCCCCTGAGCACTGCTAGGGGTAATTCCTGAGTGCAGAACCAGGAGTAACCCTGGTGCATCACCGGGTGTGACCTCAAAAACAAACAAATAAACAAAAACAAAACAAAACAAAAAAAGAATTTCATCACCTTCCTGAAGTCCTGGCAAACCAGTTCCCTTGCCCCCAACTGGTTTGGGGGCTCAATCCCTTGCATGACTTTGGGGCTTGTCCTGGGCATGATTCTTCTCAGCTGACAACTCAGGACCGTTCACTGTTTCAGTCCAGGAGTCACAGTAGCTCCTCTTTCCTTGGCCCAGCAGGGTTTGAAGCCTCCCGTTAACGTCCTCTGGGTTTGCAAAACATGCCAGTTTGCAATGAAGCCTTTCCAGACAGGAACCTTTATACCCTTCGGGGGCAGTCCATTGCCTCCCAACAGTTCAAGTAAAAACTTAATTATAGCCTTCCTGTGTTGGGCGATGTGACAGAAGTAAAATGGCTTCAACTACTCCCATGTACTTGCTACAGATTTATTCCAACTTGAATAAATGAACCTCAAACTTAAATCAGCTTGATGGGAATGAAAAGCACCGGGGAACTGATAAAGCTGTGGCAGACTCTCAGGCATCTCATGGAATCCCTTCCACGCAGCTGATGTGAAACTGGCTTCTTTGTTTGCTGCCTTCCGGAATTACATTCAATGCCTGCTTTATTTATTTTGGGGTGTGCCAGGACCACACCTGGCAGTACTCGGGTAACTCCTGGCTTTGCACTCTTGGCGGGCTGGAGGGGGTAGAGAGGTGCTGGGGATCCCACTCGAATAAGCCGGGTGCAAGGCAAGTACCTTACCTGGTGAAGTACCAGTCCAGCCCCTCCTGCTTTACATTTTAGTACTCAATTTGCGTCTCCCTCAAGAGTTTAATACAATTGGGATCTGTACTATAAATCCTCAATTCCTGGGAACTGGTTTTGTGATAGGTGGAGTATGACTCTAGGCAAGAGGAGAGGGGTGGTAGGGTCAAACTCTAAGGCTGTGTTCCTTCTGGAACACCATTGGGGAGCAATATGGCAATCAATGCCACCCAATGCCTCTTTTGCAAACCACAGCACCCAAAAGGAGAGAGAGAACAAAAGGGAGTGCCCTGCCACAGAGGCAGGGTGGGTTGGGGGGATGGGGGTGGGTGGGAGGGATACTGGGATTGGTGGGGGTGGAGAATGGGCACCGGTGGAGGGATGGGTACTTGATCATTGTATAACTGAGACCCAAGCACAAAAATTTGTAAGTCTACAACTGTACCTCATGGTGTAACACTTGCCGAAATAGCTCAATTGGGAGAGGGTTAGACTGAAGATCTAAAGGTCCCTGGTTCACTAATAAAAATTAAAAGAAAAAAAACAGGGCAATCAAACTGTGTAGGCATGTCACAGGATGAGGGAGTTGGACAGGGAAATATGTGATGACTCCTTTTCATTTCTACCTCAATCATGTCCAGGGTTCAGCTGAAAGAGGTGTCAGCCTTGTGTGACAATTTCTCTCCAGGACTATTATAATAATGTTATATGCGAAATTTTATTTTATTTGGCTGTTAGGGGTCTTCACTTGGCAGTACTCAGGACTTACTGTGCCTCTGCACTCAGGGGTCACTCCCAGTGGAGCTTGGGGGTGTCTTATGCAGTATTGGGGATTGAACCCAGGTTGACTTCATGCAAGGAAAGTGCCCTGCTTGCTGTACTATGTCTCCAGTCTCAAGTTTTTTATCTTTTTAAAATGGAGAATAGCACTTTCCTGAGCAGGGCAGTTTATGATTACTACACTAGACCATTGGTTTTCCACCTTTTCTGCTTTCAGACCAACACTGGCCCATGGTCTAGAGCATGACCTGGATGATTTTGACTCACATAGCTCAATTTTAAGATTTAACTTAGTGGGAAAATTTCCCTTGATGAGGACTAAGTTAGAAAATTCTAGAGTACAGAGGGGGAAAGGTGCTGATTTCCAGCACCTCATGCAGTTCCCCAGGCCCTGCCAGGAGTGATCTCTGAGCCTGGAACAAGGAGGAAGCCCTGAGCACTGACAAACAAATACACAAAAGATAAGTTGGGAAGTTCTTTCTTTTTAAAATTCAACTATTGGATTGTGAAGAGTCTACATAAATGTTACTGAGGAAACATTCCCATTCTCATTTGTAAAAAACATTTTAGCTACAAAATAAAATCGCTCATCTACCTTTAACATCAAATCAAGGGGAACATTACTGAGAAAGTCACAACAAGGTGGCATCCTTAATACATAATAATGACATATGCAGGAAATGCACCATTATTTATACATGTGACGCGCTGTAAATTGCTTCCATCATCAGAACTAATTGTAGTGATTATTAATGCAGTGTTATGAACTGTCAGAATTGCTGTATGTAATTACATTTGTGCAAATGCTTCATTACCTGCCTAATGAATCTGGCATATATGCACATGTAAACTACTGTTTTTGTTAACATAATGAAGGACATTTTTTTTTCCTTCTGCACTAAGCTGTTGATGTAGAACTGGTTTGACCTACCTTAGGAAGTTGTGGCATCTACTGCTGGAATACCTTTGATCTGGTTTCTTGTTACTCATGGCAGAATATGCATGAGAGTGTCTGTTTCAATAGCAGCCTCAAAAAATTAAGGTCTATCTTGGCAATGCCTGGAGATGGACAGGTTCAATGCATTGTGTGGAAGAGGTGATCTGAACACCAGTGCTTACCTTTGGGTTTGCCTCTAAGTAGTTGTAGAGGACACTGGCACAGATGGTGAGGTCTCCAGGATTGAAGGGGTAGCTACGGCTCCAGCCCTGGGGGCCAAACCTCAGTCTCCCTGCCACACAGGCGTGGAAGTAGCACAGAGAGAAGAGGATGCTTTTAAATTCATGCTCTTTGGAGCACCCTTCAAGTGTATCCTGGGAGAAGAGAAACACACTGGATTATCCATCTGGTCATTTCCTAGGGCTAGAGTCTGAGTGTCAATAATCTTGTTTGGGATTGGAGGGATGAAGACAGCAGGAACATGTAATTCTAAGTCTGGCAAATGAGCCCTGAAAGCAGAATGGGAGATTAACTGGCATTTGCAAGTCTGGTGATTGAAGAAGAACTTTTATTTGGCTTTCCTTATTCTTTCAAATGCTTTTAATATCATTAGAAAATAAAAGGACACAATCTAACAAGTGATGATGAGGCTTGACATCATTGTTCCTTGCAAAATTCTTGTAGAATATGGATGACCTCAGGATAGGATCTCTTTTCTCACTGGTGTAGCCAGGATCTTCATACCTGCTCGTTCTGTAGTAATACAGACTATCTGAAAATATTACCATCCATTACAAGATTGCTTTCAAGACTCCCTTAGTACCACATGTGCTAGAGGACCAAACTTTTGCCAAGAGATTTTGAGAAAAAGTTGTATGGACTGTTTTGAAGGAAATTTCTGGCTCTGCTTGTCACTTTCTTTTTTACAGTAGATCAGAGATGATTGGAAAACCTTAGAAGACATCAGTTTAGTACGGTAGAGGCATCCAACAGTTTTGGTGTGTGGCTGCTCTCAAAGGATAGTGCTATCAATTAAGTGTGAGAAAGACAAATTCTGGTCATGTTTGAATCATTCTAATTTAATACTGCACCTTAACTAATGCTGTCACTATAACAAATGGTTTCCTTCCAGTGAACTCAAAGTAAAATTCATTGCTGGAATTATAGAATGACATATCATCAGAAAAGAAGTGCTTTATCGGGGGCTGGAGAGATGGTATAGTAGGTGCAGGGCTTGCCTTGCAATTGGCTGACGTGGGTTCACTCCCTGATACCCCATATGGTTCCTGTGCTCCACTAGGGATGGTGATCCCTGAGTGCAGAGCCAGGAGTAAGTTCTGACCACCACTGGGTGTGACCTCCCAAACAAACAATAAATAAATGCATCATAGGCAACATAGTGGGCATTTCTGAAAATCTCAGGGAAAGTTGAATTATGGTATACTACACTGATAGGGTAATAACCCAATTATTGCAGGACTGAAAGGTGAAAAGCTATCATTCCTTCAATGGCTAAGAGGTAGGGACCTCCATTCCCAGACTTGGCACTTTTTTGAGGATAGCAGGGAAAAATTGAGAATTATTGCTCAACTGCTACTGGGGAGCAAATGAAGGAGAGGTCCAAAATCTGTACCTACCTACCTTATTCTTTTATTTATTTTTATTTTATTTTTTAAATTTCTTTTGGGCTGGAGCGATAGCACAGCGGTAGGGCGTTTGCCTTACAAGCGGCCAACATAGCCGACCCGAGTTCGATTCCTCCGCCCCTCTCGGAGAGCCCGGCAAGCTACCGAGAGTATCTCGCCCGCACGGCAGAGCCTGGCAAGCTCCTCGTGATGTATTCGATATGCCAAACACAGTAACAACAAAGTCTCCAATGGAGATGTTACTGGGCCCGCTCGAGCAAATCGACGAACAATGGGAGGGCCTTTACCTTTTACCTTTACCTTTTATTGAATCATTGTGAGAATAGTTACAAAGCTTTCAGGTTTAAGTGTCAGTCATACAATGATCCAATGATCAAACACCCATCCCTTCACCAGTGCATATTTTCCACCACCAAGAATCCCAATATACCCCCATCTCAACCCTCCCCCTGCCTGTGAGGCAGATGATTTCCACTTAACTCTCTACTTTGATTACATTCATTATTTTGACAAAAGATGCACCATTATTGGGAATTTCCCCCCAACAATCAGACCTGCTGAAAAGGCATCGTGAAATAATTTGTTTTCCATTGCTGGTTATAAAGAGCATATGATATCAAAGTCACGTGATTTTGGATTTCTGATATTTTACTAATTAAGTATGGAGGGATTTCTGTCAAAAGCTGCATAGTTCTGAGATTGGTTTGTGTGTCTCTGGGTCCATGGCCGTGCCAGAGAGCCACTCGTGGGGGGCAACTTGTGGTCTTGGCGGGGCAGGAAGGATGTGCTGGTTTCATCCCCCATCCCACAAGGCTGCAGTTGCTCCATCACCGCTGGCTCATACCTGGCTGTCCAATACGCTCTGAGGCTGCGGCGTGTGGGGCGGTGGGGGGCGGGGTGAAGGTGGAAGAGACAGACACCTTTTACCTGGGTGGGGGGTGGGAGTAACTTAATGCATAGTCCATTCACATTTCTGCCAAAAGCTGCTCAGTTCCGAATTAGGTTTGTGTGGCTCTGGGGCCATGGCTGTGCCAGAGAGCTGCTTGTTGGGGGGGGGGGGGGGACTCGTGGTCTCCTGCCTTAATCTTTTAAACGGAGAATGAGCCAGAATGTGATTAACCTGAATCTGGCAATGTGGGTCATCTACAAATTATATTTAGGTTCTTTGGGGTGGGAGTTCAGACTTATCTTCCAGGTGACTTCTGGTACTAAACCCAAATGAAATTTTTACTTGGTCCAGAATCTGAAGCCCATATTTTTCAGTTGTTGTTTGGGCCACACTCAGTGTATTCCAGGCTTAATCCTGTGCTCAAGAGTAACTCCTGAGGGTGGAGATCTTGAGGAATCATATGTGGTGCCAGGGATTGAATTCAGGTTGACTTTAAGCAAGGCAAGTACCCTACCTGCTGCATGATTGCTCCAGCCCCCAGAAGCACTTTTGAAGTTTTTTTCCTTAATACTTTCATAAGAATCCAGGTTTAGAACAAAATATGGTTCTAGAATTGGTCAGGCTATAAACAGTACAGTTATAGGTAAAAGACTATGCCAATTTTTAGGTACTCTGGCACGTGGTTTGGAAACACACAATTATTAAAAAATAAGTTTTCTACAACTAAACACCAAATAAAAGTTAAGCTCATACAGGAAAAAAGGAAACAAATCCTATAAATGGAACCAATCTTACTGGACATAAAAATATATGTTACACTTAAGTTCCTAGAGGACAAAATAAAAGTATCAGCACTTATTTTTTGTCTTTAGGAATTTTGATCTAACAAATCTGCAGTTAGTTATCTAAGGGTTCCTTGAATATATTATAGAATGTTTACAAGACAGCCCAGCTACTATATTAACCAAGTGCATTAATTCATTCTAACTGATTTAGTTTTATTGTCAGTGCTAAAGAACAATCACAAATCAATGACCATTTCAGATTTCTCTATAAACATAAATTCTATAAAAATAAATATAAATCAGGCTTACTTAAGTATAAGTCTACCTACCATTACACAGTTTAGGTAAGTTTTATGTCTACAAACCAAATAATGAGCAAATTAATAGCTGAAAATGTACAACCAGCATTGAGAATAGAGAATAGACATTTCTTCATCCAGGTTTCTGTCTACAGACCTTGCAGGAAAAGAAGTCTATATTCTTTTTTTTTTTGTTATTTTTATTTTTTATTAGTGAAACACCATGAGGTACAGTTATAGACTTACAAATTTTTGTGCTTGGGTTTCAGTTATACAGTGATCAAGTACCCATCCCTCCATCAGCGCCCATCCTCCACCACCACGGGTCCCAGCATCCCTCCCATCCCCCATCCCCCTATCCCACCCTGCCTCTGTGGCAGGGCATTCCCTTTTGTTCTCTCTCTCTCCTTTTGGGTCCTGTGGTTTGCAAGAGAGGCACTGAGTGGCAATCATGTTTGGTCTATAGTCTACTTTTAGCAAAAATATGCATGACTTTAAAATCATATATATATATATATATCCATAACAAAAGATAGATTTTGGAAGTTCCACCATTAAAAAAGAAATATATGGGCTGGAATATAGCTTAGCAGTAGAGCACTAGTCTTTTATTTTTTTTTCTTTTGGGGTCATACCTGGTGATGCTCAGAGGTTAGTCCTACCTCTGTACTCAAGAATTACTCCTGGCAGTGCTTGGGAGACCATATGGGATGCCGGCGAACCCACGTCAGCCTCATGAAAGGCAAATGCCCTACCCGCTGTACTATCACTGCGGCCCGAGCACTAGTCTTTTATATTACTGTTCCTAAGCTTGACCCCCAGCACCACAAAAACATATTAAGAACATTAAAAATAAGATTTTTAGTTTGATAGAATCCCATTTTTTTAACAGTAGACAATTTGTGTTCTATTTCTGGTTATGATAACATGATGTTGTGTGGCTGCAGTAGGGCCACGTGATTTTGAAATTCCGAAAAAAAAATTTTTTTTAAACACCATGAGGTAGAGTTGTAGATTTACAATTTTTTGTGCTTGGGTTTATATTATACAATGATCAAATACCCATCCCTCCACCAGTGCCCATTTTCCACCACCATGGATAATATCCCTCCCACCCCCATCCCTCCCATCCCACCCTGCCTCTGTGGCAGGGCGATCCCTTGTGTTCTCTCTCTCCTTTTGGGTGTTGTGGTCTGCAAAAGAGGCTTTGAGAGGCAAACATGTTCAGTTCTTAGTCTACTTTCAACATGCATCTTTCCTCCTGGGAGGATCCTCCAAACATCCTTTATTTGGTGCTCCCTTCTCTATCTGAGCTGCCCTTTCCCCTAGAATGCCTGGCTGGCCTCTAAGCTATGGAGTAATACTCCTGGTGCTGATCTCAGCTATTCTTGGGTATTAATCTCATATTTTGTTACTTTATATTCCCCAGATGAATGCAATCTTTCTATGTCTATCCCTCTCTTTCTGACTCATTTCGCTTAGCATGATACTTTCCATGTTGTACCACTTGTACATAAATTTCATGAAGAAGTCTATATTCTTATAAAAGTCTGGTTATCTGCATCTATTTATATAAAAACTCAATGAAATGGGGACAGAAAGAACATAATAAAAACCATACCATATACAACAAATTCAAAGATAACATCAATCCATGACTTGGAGGCCAGCCACACATGCTAGGGAGAAAGGGAGCTCAGATAGAGAAGGGAGCACCAAATAAAGGGCTTTGGGAGGATCCTCTCAGGATGGGAGAAGCATGCTGAAAGTAGACTATAGACCAAAAATGATTGCCACTCAATGCCTCTTTTGCAAACCACAACATCTAAAAGGAGAGAGAGAACAAAAGGGAATGCCCTGTCACAGAAGCAGGGTGGGATGGGGGATGGGAGGTGGGAGGGATACTGGGACCTGTGGTGGTGGAAAATGGGCATTGGTGGAGGGATGGGTACTTGATCATTGTATGACTGAAACCCACGCACAAAAATCTGTAAGTCTACAACTGTACCTCATGGTGTTTCACTAATAAAAATTAAAAAAAAGAAAAATAAAAACAAAGATAACATCAAGCTCATTGGTGAAAATTGGGAAGATTTTCCCTCTATTATCAGGCACGAGATAAGAATAGTCATTCTCAGTGCAGTATTGAAAGACCTAGTCATGGCAATTAAATAAAAAGTGATAGTAGTCTGCCATTTTTGTCCTTCAGTAAATAAGTACGTTCTTCAAAATAGTATGCAGCATACTTTTGTAATTTTTGTAGTTTCAAAGTGCATATTCTAGTTATTAGAATAGAGAATGACAAGTGTAAATCATTCAGGAGATTTAAACACATGTGTACACACACACACACACACACAGACACACACATTCACTCATTCCTCTGCCTGTGATATATGAGCAGATGAGGGTTCCACAATCTGGTGAGACCTTACAGAAGACACCCACCCTTATTCTGCTCTTACCTGATCAAAGTTGTAGAGGGCAGCATGCAAATTGGCCAACATTCCTGTGGGGGGTTCATTAGTGATCTTAATGGAATTTTCCAGGAGTCCTTGAGGGATGATATGTTCATTTGGGGTAGGTGCAGACTCAGCACTCATGAAAACCCTATAATCTCTGTGGCTTTCATGACTGAATTTTTCAAGCAGTTTCTCCAAGGTTCCGAGCCATTTGGCTACCAAATGGACATTCTGAAAAATAGGCCATATAGTTCTTATAAAACTGAAGTCTATTATTTTTATTATAAAATTACTGTTTCCTATATGTAAATGTACAGGAAACTAAGGGAACTATAACAAATTATTCTTTAGAATCATATCAGAAAACATAGAGAATTTAATATTGAACCTATTGTGTGCTTCAAACCACCACCTGTTGTCTTTGTAACCCCAAATGTCCCAACACAGACTTTCAACATCCATCCAGTGACCACAGGTGAAATGCAGATTCCTGACTTTTTTCACTTAATGTTCAAATTTAATACATGAGACTATTTGGACTAGATTGATCAAGAATAAAAATGAAAGACTAGAAACATACTGGACGACTACCCACTCTACCCACTCTCTTGTCTGAGGGAAACTTCTACTCAGACTCCTCCTTATTAGGATGTCATTCGTAAGGATGAGATAGATAAAAATCTAGCCGAAAAAGAAACCAACTTCTCTTTGCCATGGCTCTCTGCCTATTCCTAACACATTATTTTTCTTAAACCCCAGAAATGGCAGAAATATGAAAGAAACAAATGCCATTATCAATGCTCCTTGCTTTTAGTTTTACGATTTACAAATTTGCTCCTTAGTATCAAACACCCTCACGGTAGAGCTTGGTTGTTGGTTCAGGGAGAAGAGAATAAAGAATGTTATTTCATACGCATTCTGCTTTGAGAGAAGCTTCTAGTACAGTGATTGAAACAGCTCCCCAGAGATATATAATTATTTCCAACAGAGAAAGATGTTTAAGGTAAGAGCTACAAAAATACAGAGATTAAAGGTAAATGGGAAAAATGGAGGTATTCCATTTTTCTTTGAAGCAGTTCTGTTAAAAAAGGACCTATTCCAATTAAGTTTTGCATATTATGCATTGGGCCACACCTGGCAGTTCTCAGGGATTATTCCTTGCTCTGTGTTCAGGTGGGGGCTCCAGGGACCATATATGGTGCTGAGGATAGAAGCAGGACTGGCCTTTACAAAGCAATTGCTGTAACCCCTTATACTACCTCTCCAGTCCGGAATGCGAATTAATCTTGAAGTAGGTCTCTAAGAAGGTAATTAGAGCTTGGTGAGACACAGGGCCACAGCCCATAAGAGGAACTTCAGAAGAAGCTAAGCTTCCTGCAAAGTCTTTGCAGAAGCTAAGCTTCCTGCAAAGTCCAGAGCTGTGAAAAATGACATTTCTGTAGATTAAGCCACCTGATTTGTGATGCTTGGTTTGCTAGCCTTAGGCAACTCATTCAGTGGGACAGGACTTTATACTTCCTTCCCTACATGCTGGGTAATAATCAGATTACTTCTCTGGGCCAGATAACTTGTTCAGGGTTAAGGCACTTGCCTTACACATTGGCTCCAGTTTGATCTCTGGCACTATACATGGCCCCCTGACCACAACCAGGAGTGAGCCCTGACACCTTTGGGTCTGACCCTAGCCCCCACCTCATCACTGGAATAAAAAAGAATTAACCCTTTACATCTTATTGCAGTACTCAGTCACATAAGCATGAAGAAAAAAAATAACAAAACCTGATTAGTCAGCTTAAATATTGTCTATTGTGTGGACTCTAACAGTCCTTTACTTGAAACAAACAGAAAAATATTTCAGGTAGTGATGCTGGAGTCAGGATGACAGAAAACACTGCAAGTGAGCCCATGTGGCATGTGACACACTTTGGCACCCAGTCTAGGAGCCCTTCTGGAGGATTTTGGCTGTGGGTCTAGGGCCCCGCACATACCTGTCTAGGTGCCTAAGGCTTGTGTCATATTCTTAGCCAATTCACATGCCTGGAGAACCCCATATTCTGTTTGTGGGGAATGATTTTTAAAGGCACAAACCATCTGGTGAGTATCTGAGATAAAGACGGATCCCAGTCCTCTACCTTTGTGATAGTCTTCTCAGGAGTTTGGGGCTAGAAAAAAGTACGAGTTCATATTCCTAGAGGGGCAGGATCTGTCTGTGGTAACTGATCATTGCAGCATTGCGGGAGGAACCTATGACCATGTGCATATACAGCCTAAACCTTAGTGATAGGATTTAATGTGAAAAAGGTAGACAGCACATTCCCATTACATTGGTTTTCTCTTTTCTCAAAGTGCTGCTTTTAACTGCTGATCAAAAGAGCACAAGAGGGCCAGAGAAAGTACAGCACTTGTCTTGCACTTGACCAACTTGGGTACCTGAGTTTGAACCCCAGTACCCCATACGATCCCCTGAGTTTACCAGGAGTAATCCCTGAGTGCAGAGCTAGGAGTAAGCATCACTCTGTGTGTGAGTGTGTGTGTGTGTGTGTGTGTGTGTGTGTGTGTGTGTGTGTGTGTATACTTTGATCAACCGCTCTTGTGGCACAGGAAAAGGATACTGTTTTGTATTTGTTTTATGGATGTGACTGAGAACCACACCCCACATCAATGGAGTGAATCCTTTTTGTGGGGCACATCCAGAAATGCTCAGGGTTCTCTCTCAGCAATGCTCAGGGGCTGGAATGGAACCTGGGTCAGATGCTGGCAAGGTAAGTACCGGTGCTCACAGGCTGTTTCTGGCTGATATTAGGAGATGTGCCTGGTGCTGGGGATTCGAATTGTGGCCAGCAGCTTGCAAGCCAAGTGTCTAAACCCCTGTATTATCTCTCAGGATCTCCTTCTAGCACTTTTATCTTTTTCTTTTTGATTTTGGACCACACCCAGTGGTGCTCAGGACTTACTCCTGGCTCTTCACTTAGGGATCAGGGGACCATATAAGGTGCTGTGGACCTTAAACAGGTCAGTCATGTGCAAAGCAAATGCTCTACTCAGCACTATACTATTGCTCCCCCAACCCTAGTATTTTTAAAAAAAATTTTATTTTCATAAAGTTGTTCACATTAATTGATTACGTTCAATATTTCAACACCAATCCCACCACCATTACACTTTTCCACCACCATTATTTAGAATTTTCCCTCCACTTTTCAAGTCTGCCTGCCAGTGGCAGATGCCAGATCATTTATTTTCTATTGCTTATTATGAATATCGTGAGAGGTTGTGTGGCTGTGAAAGTAGCCATGCGCTTTTGGAATTCTAAAATTGTAAATGGTTGAGGTCCAAAGATATCTCTTGTAGGGAGCTAATCCATTTTGAGATTCATGTGGGAGTCTCTGAATCAAGGCCATTGATGAGCCAACCCTAGTATTTTTCACAGAGGTTAGGAACCCCTCAAGAGGAAGAAAATCTCTGCAGAGATCGTTCAGTCTGAGAACCCTAATGATTCTAAAAGCTCCTGTTCCCACTGCTAGTCTCCTGTGCTCTTCCCAGAGTGGCCCTGAGAGCATCACACTCACCTGAAGCATGACCCAGTGCCCTTCCTTACAGGCTTTTGCCAGAGCTGCTTCTGCAACAGTCTCCTGACCTTGGCCTAGAGATACATTGTGGAATTTTCCTGAGTCGATTGTAAAACCAAGTCTTTTGCCTGTGGGGGTGGAAATACAACCCAGTGAGAGGAAAAGTCTAGCAGCCCAAGTGAGTAAAGTCGGAATGATCCTCAGTGGTCACTGCTGCCCCCTTCTAGGTCACTTTTGTGAAGAAGTCAAATAAAACTCCCGCCATATCAACAAGCAGCACTCTGAGCTCTCACCAGCTGCGCCCTTGCGTGCGTTAGCCAGGCATGTGGAAATCAGTTCCCCTGATTTTCCGGTAACGAAGCTTTTGACATTTTGATAGATGGCGAGCATTGTTATTGAGCTCTATAAACGCTCACGCCGGAGTTGCAAAGCATTTCCCTCATAAAAAAAAGGAGCAACATGTGGTCGTGATCACATCAGTTTTTGACCTGATGGGCTCACTGGGTGAATGCACGAGTCTCTCACCTTGTGAGGCCGCGCTTGAATTGCGCACAGCCGGGTCACACACAGCTTTATTAACCTGGTATTCTCAGGGCAGGCCGCGGGGAATAGTAATCCAGAGCACAAAGCAACAGTGCCTTGCACAATCGAATAGGCTAGCGCTAATGACCATTATTTAGTCACAGGGGGCACGAGATTATGCGAGCATGGAGAAAATTGCCCTCCGGCCCTCACAGAGGCAAAAGGTGGAGAATAGCACAAAAGAAACTTGCATTATGCCAACCAGAGGAATGTTCCGTTTCAACATTTCTCCCGACTACAGTGTTATTAGCCTCGCATTTTTTCGTACATGCAATCGCCAACAAATAAAAAAAAGAAAGAAGAAAGAAGCTAATAGAACTGTGACTGAAAGTAAGGGCAGGTGGGTGTGGGTGGGAAGGAGGGAGGAGGGTGACCAGCAAGCCTATTGGCCACATACCGAGGATCTCAAGGTCTTTAAGGGCATCGACCCCAGGGGACAGGATGAAAAACACTGGGGTGGCTGGGTTGCTTTCTTCAAATGCTTTCGCTAGATCCAATCTGATCCTTTCCACATATTTTGCACCCAGTTTTTCCTCCACGAAATTCCTGCAAAAAAAAATGGATAATGCCAAAATAAGATTAGTGTTTCTAACCTTGGAAAGAATTGCTACTGGATCAGCTTCAGCCACCTTCAGCCGAGGAAGGAAGCAACCCATGTGTATTTCATGGGATCTTCTGATAATGAACTCAAAATGATTTATGCAGCAGTATCATTGAAACCCATCTCCACTTCAGATGCTTTAAAAATCGAAAAACTTCCCTTTTGAGGGGCTCGTGAGACTTCCTCTGTGGGCCATCAGCTGCCTGCATATGGCTTTGTAACCCCCAAGTCCCCCGACAGGCCCCCCCATTACTTATTAACAGTTCATTAGATTTGTCACAGTGCAATTTTCCAGCCTGCTGGGCTTCTCATGAATATACAAATGCTTTTTGGGGTGTTTTTAACACAAGGAAGCTCAATTAGGCAGGGATTATTTTCCAGCAGTATCAGATTTAGCAGAAAGTCAGTACTAGTGAGCAGAATTAACTTGTAAAGTCAGGTTCAGCCAGGGCTTATGCAATGGGAAATTGGGCTGAACTAAACAAAGCAAAGGAAAATCCCCCAATATGTGTGATTATGATTAAAGAAAGAAGAGTATGATCTGGAAGGATGGTGAGAACTCCTTGGTTGGTGAACTTAAATTAGAATGCAACATATGTGAATCAACTTGTAGAGTACCAACTGGAATCAAAAAGGCAAAGGCAAAGGACACTTGAGGAGCTGGAGTGATAGTACAGTGAGTAGGGCACTTGCTTTGCGTGCAGCCAATCTGGGTTCAATCCTTGGCATCGCATATGGTACCGGAACTCTCCAGCAGTGACCCTGAGCACAGAGCCAGGAATAAACCCTGAGTGGTGCCTAGTGTGCTCACCCCATCCTCACCCCCCGAAAAAGGAAAGAGAAAGGACACTTGAACTGAGATGCACTCTTGAGTTTCAGTTTCGAAATTGTACTAGGGATAACATTATGGGACCATGAATAACCTCAGGTAAGAACTCATTTTCGTTTGACAAGCAAAATCTTCAAAATGCCATCACTGAATAAAGGCCTTAGAACTTACACTTGGATGATGCATATGACTGGCCTTTGCACTCTGCGAACACCTGCCTCTCTTCCTAGAAAAACATTTCCATAAGTTTCCTGCTCCAGAATTAAGCTTTTTAGACAGGATAAGCTGAGTCACCAAACAAACAAGCACATTACTCAGCTTTTTTTTTTTGCTTTTTGGGTCACACCTGGCGATGCATTGGGGCTACTCCTGGCTCATGCACTCAGGAATTACTCCTGGTAGTGCTCAGGGGACCATATGGGATGCTGGGAATCGAACCCAGGTTGGCTGCACAAAAGGTAAATGCCCTACCCGCTGTGCTATCACTCCAACCCCTACTCAGCATTTTAATAAATATCGGTAACGTCATAATTTCAGTAGAATCACTTCTCATCAGTATGGCCAAGAAATGCCTCCACCAGATAGTCTCAGCCCCAAGGACAAGTTTCTTTGAGGTTTAACCTGCCTCACCTGAGGGCATAGGTCATTCTGTCTGGGCGCATGGCTCTCAAAATAATCAGCTTCTGTATTAAGCTTTTCTTCTTCCATTCTTGTGGTAGCTTTTCTTTTTCTGGACATTCTGATTCGACCCATTTTCTCCACTGCTTGGCAGATCCCTCCACATCTCGGTCTAGGCCTCTGAATTCCTCTAGAAGGGCAACAGCCTATAATGCAAGAGGGGAACAAGAAGGAATGGTGAGCAGCGGAGTTTAGAGTTGGAAATGGACTTTTGCCTGTGTCAGGTAAAAGTAAGAATAAGTAAGAATCTGACATAGTCACAACTATCGTTTCTATAGATTGACACTGCAAACTCTTCAGCCCTGCTACAAGGGTGAGTGACTTGCATAAAACTCCCTGTTCTCTGGCTTGGTTGGGTTTGACTCAGCAAAAATCTAGCAGGAGAGTAGAAGGGGAGAGAGAGCAGAGGGCATTCTCCTTCCTTCCTTTTCTGTTAAGACATGGTCTAGTAGGAGCTATGGTTCCTTGCCAAATCCCATTCCTTTGCTTCCCAGTAGTTCCAGTAATTGTTCCTTACCCTTCTATTAGAACATTATTAGATCCTTACTCGTCCCTTCTTTTCCATTCCTGGTGGATCTTTGTTAATAGCCTCTTATAAGCCTTTTTTGGAGAGCAGGGCCTTGGGGGATTGGGCGACACCCAGCAGTTACTCCTGGCTCTGCACTCAGGAATTACTCCTGGTAGGCTTGGGGGACCATTTGGGATGCTGGGGATCGAACCTGGGTTGGCAGCATGCAAGGCAAATGCCCTACCTGCTGTATTATCACTCCAGATCTACAACCCTTTTTTGAATGTACCATCCAATCTCTGCTAAGATCCTGACTGTTAAACAACCGAAGTTGTAATTCTAATATAATGATCTAATAAATTCATTTAAAAATGCAAATAAAACTGTATAAATGAGTGATAGTTATTTTCAAAGCATAGAATAATCTCTCAAGAATAAAAGAATGAGGTCCAGAGTGACAGTATAGCGGGTCCGACATTTGCCTTGCACTGAGCTCACCGATTTTGTTGCTTGGCATCCCATATGGTCCCCTGAGATCACCTAGCATGATCTCTGAGTTCAGAGTCAGGAGTAAGTTCTGAGAACTGCCAGGCATGTGTCCCCAAAACAAACTCCAAAATAAGAAATATGGCCAAGCTTGGGAGTATAAGTGCTTAATAAGAATGGAATAAGGGATGAATATTGGGGTCGAAGAATAACTACTACTCCTTTTTTTTCTTTTGTTGCTCTAACAGTGTTTTGCTTACACATTTTACAATGAGAATAAACTGGTAACTAACCAAATGAAAAGAAAACAGGGCCAGGGAGCTAGTAGAGTGGGTAATGTATTTGCCGTGCCCATAGTTGGCCCAGGTTTGATACCTGGCACCCCATATGGTCCTCTGAAAGCCAGGAGTGATCCCTGACCACAAAATCAAGAGTAATCCCTGAGCACTGCCAAGTGTGCCCCTCCCTACCAAGAAGAAAAAAAAATTAGATTCAGGAAAAATTTAAAATAGTCATTCATACTCCTTAACTTTTGTCAAACATTTTTTCAAAACATTCTGAATATTAATGTTAAAATATTGAAAAATATAAGTATTACTTATATTTACCTATAAGTAAGCCAAATGTTCCTTTCCCTCCACATAAGAAGTCACTCAATTTAGCAGTGAAAAGATTAATTTAATACCATCACATTCTATAGCATATTTCTACAAGAGAAATGGGGTCTGATCTACCACTTGTTTTTTAGAACTCTATATATTAAAGAGACATGAGATTTGAAATAAAATTTAAAAGCTGAGAAATGGTCTTGCTGACCTACCTTGACGGCACTCCATGACTGAGTGCTTAAAAACTCAACAGGACTCGCGAAAGTGTGTTCAACTGTGAGTCGAAGCAGAAAATCCAGTTCAAAAGGGTCTATCTCCTTCTTTCTCAGCAAAATCTTGAGAGCACACAAAATTGAAGAGGGTCATCAGTTTTATATCAGTATCACGACCGAGGAGTGCAGCCACAATTCAAAAGATACAAGTGAACAGGCAGCACCAAGACGGCTAAGAAGTCCTGTAGCTACAGCTATACTCTGTAGGAGGGCTCTGATCATGCTCACGATCTCCAAATCTTGATTTGAAGCCTAACCACAAATAATTGCAAAGATTGACAAGAAAAAAAATTATAATGCATCTTAAAAACCTGATATTCTATGTAAATCAAAATTTTATTTATATGTGGACAGTGAATTGTTTGCTGAAATAAATTAGACTAAGAAAAAACAATTTCCCGTTAAAATTAAGTAATGCATGTTGTAACTCTGCATTTTTTTTTAAAGATCTGGAATTTGGGAAGGGGTTGCAGTGATCATTCCAACCTAATGCCTGTGCCTATTTATAGTATATTTGTTCATACTAATTTTTAGATCATACTTAATTTAAAACTTGTCTTACAGACTGAAAAGTCTCAGATAATAATGGTATAATTTAGTAAGCAGAGGTGCAACTAGTATTTTGTTATTTCTAGTATTAAATTACATCCAATAAATGATAAGACAAGAGAGAGATTTTTTTTCCTAAGTGAGATTATATTGAGGAAAAAAGAACATTGATTTTCACAGTGTCTAAAAGGTGCTTAAAAGAGAGAGTGAGGGGGCGACTAAAACCTCATGGGAAGGGGGGCGTTTCGCTCCGCCCTTCACGCCCTACCGAGGCCACCGGTTGCCCCCCGCGAGCGGCTCTCCAGCACGGCCACGACTCCAGAACACAGAAACCAATTTCTTAACTATCTGACTTTCAGTAGAAATACCTTCAGGGTCAATAGGTAAAATAGCAGAAATCCAAAACCAACATTTAATTCTTGAACCCAGCTGTAGAAAGCAAATCACTTCACAATGCTTTTTCAGCATGTCTGATTTGGGGGGGGGGGTAAACTCTAAAAAATAGTGGTGAATCTTTTATTGAAACAATGAATCTAATCAAAGCAGATAGAGTGTTAACTAGAATTCATCTGCCTCACAGGGACGGGGAGGGGTGGGGGTGGGGTTTTATTGGGGTTCTTCATGGTAAAAAATAAGTATTGGTAAAGGGAAATGTGTTTGATATTTGCATGACTGAGACATAAACCTGAAAGCTTTGTAACCTTTCCCACAGTGATTCAATAAATAAATAAAAAAAATAAATAAAAAAGAGAGAGTGAGAACACAGGGGATTGCCCTGCCACAGAGACAGGGGGGATGGGGGGATGGGGGTGGGAGGGATATTATCCATGGTGGTGGAAAATGGGCACTGGTGGAAGGATGGGTATCTGATCATTGTATAATTGAAACCAAAGCACAAAAAATTGTAAATCTACAACTGTAAAAAAAAAAATAAAATATAAGAGAGAGTGAGAGAGAGAGAGAGAAAAGAGAGAGAGAGAAAAGAGAGAGAGAGTGAGAGAGAGAGAGAGTGAGAGAGAGAGGGGGAGAGAGAGAGAGAGAGAGAGAGAGAGAATATATCCATAGAGGCAGGCTGGGAGATAGGGGAAATTTGGGACACTGGTGGTGGGAAATGGACAGTGATGAAGAAACGTGCTTTGGGATATTGTATGATTGAAACCTAATCATAATAACTTTGCAAATGTGTTGTGCATGTTAATTCAATTAAAAAATTTTTTAAAAAGGAAATTGTTTTTATTATGAATTAGGAAAAACTTTAGGCTACAGAACATTCTTAGGAACACTAGTAGAATAATTCCAAATAACTTACAGAGTTGAATATATAAAATTTTTAAGGTTTATGCTAGTTTTAAAATTTTATAGTTTTTTCAATTTTTGGGCCACACCCAGCAGTGCTCAGGAATCTTGGTGGGCTCAGGGGACCATAGGTGGTGCCAGAGACAGAATGCAGGTTGGCTGTCAGACAAGCACCCTACCCACTACACTGTCATCCTGACTCCCTCCCAAATTTCAGATCTTTAAAGAATGCAGAGTTACAACATGCATTACTTAATATTATTGGAAAATTAATTTTTCTTAGTACAACTTATTTCAGCAAACAAATCATTGTTCATATACATATGTCAAACAAACTGTCGAACACTGTCCTCCCGTTGTTCATTGATTTGCTCCAGCGGGCCCAGTAATGTCTCCATTTTGAGACTTGTTGTTACTGTGTTTGGCATACTGAATACATCACAGGTAGCTTGCCGGGCTTTGCCATGTGGTAGAGACACTCTCGGTAGCTTGTCGGGCTCTCCGAGAGGGGTGGAAGAATCGAATCTGGGTTGGGCAGACTGGCTGTGTGCAAGGTAAATGCCCTACCACTGTGCTATTACTCAGCCCTATGTGAGTTTTTGATTTACACAGAATATCAGGTTTTAAGATGCATTATAATTTATCTCTAGCTTCCAATGAGAAGTTTTAAATGGATGTATAAGCATATCATATGTGATCATTTTGGCCTTACCTTTTAATGAGTAAGACATATTATATAATAATATGATTATTTATTGAGAAATATGTAAAAATAATCACCTGAGATTTTATTCTATAATACCTTGATCTGATTACCCATATATTATAATTGCCAATACCCATATAACCCAAAGAAATCCACAAATAGCAAAACTATTGAAAAAAAGTAATAACATTTTGCTTTGGAGTCATACCCAACAATGTTCAGGAATCACTCTTGGCACTTGGGTGACCATATGTGGTGCTGGGAATTGAACCTGGATTGGCTGCATGCAAGGCAAGCTGTCCTGAAAAGTTATATATATATATATATATATATATATATATATGTATGTATATATATATATATATATATGAGAGAACATGGGCTTTTCCAGAGTGGAAAAAGCAAACAAAGATACATGCTCAAGCGAGAACACAGGTATGCGAGAGCAAGCTAACTTTTATCATTATTAACTGCATTCACTTATAAAATGTCTTCTTGGGCAGAACACTACGCAAGAAATAAAACAGGTAAGACATGCCCCTTTCACTAACATATGGATTGGTAAACAGCAACAGAAAGAGTAAGAAGACAGGTTGATTTCTTCTAGGAATACAGTCCTAATTTTTTTTCTTTTGCCATGGCACCTTTGTTTGTTTAAACAGTCTTTTACAGAAATGCATATGAAAAAAGATTAAATAGGAAGCAGGTGTGAGATGGAATTCTTTTTTATTGATCTGTGTTGGAATTTGGAGCTCTACCAAATTCCAAGGATGCCAAGATCTGCCTTCAGAACCATGATCTTAAAGAACCTCCCTGGGAGGCCCCGGGCAGTCCTATGCAGGATCAGAGAAGAATGTCTCCTCAATCTGGTCAGCAAGATGACAGCTTTTGCAGCTGTTCCAAGTGCAGATTCACCCAGACCAACACATGGGGATCACCTAGAAGGTTATTACATGTCCAATGTCATCCCGCAGAGAAAGTTATTTATGTCTCCCTACAGCTGGATTAAGGTACAAAATGAATGAAGGAGTGGGACTCTGCCTCTCAGATGCTTTCCATCGACACATCTCACCTGAAAAGCCATCTGGGACAGGAAGATGAGCTTGTCCTTCTCGAATAGTGCCTGGCTGGTATACAGGAAGATGGTATAGGTGATGCTCTCCATCAGGACTGAGATGCGCCCCTGCATGTCCTCCACCTGGTCAGCCTGTTCAATTGCTCTATGAAAGAGCACGTTGAAAGCCTGGAGAATTTTGTGATTGTTAAAGGACGATAACTGGTACCTGGATCTAGCTAAACCAAGGCACATAAGCCTACCGCTTAAGGTTTATCTATAGGGCGAGAGAACAAGATAGCATCTTTCTGAGGATTCTAGGAGCTCTTCGAACAGTTTCTGGATTGTGGTAAGTGGTCATTAAGTGCATGCTGACATTAATGTTATTAAAATCATTTCATAGTCTACCCACATTTCTCTCCAGCCAACTGAACAGCACCATGCTTTATCTTTCTATCCATTACCTATAATTTTTAATAGTGGAAATATACAAGACACAAATTTTAACCCCCTTATTATTAGCAGAGCTGCTCCTGGCTGTGCCTGGAGTTTGGAGGTCGCTCAGACTGAACCCAAGGTCTCACGCATACCAGGGATGTACTCTGCTACTCGACCCATATCCCTGGCTGCTCAACCTTAAGGATATTCACACGGTTGCATGACCAATTACAATTTATTCTTTCACAAAACTGATATTGTACTCACACAACAATTTCTCATTCTCCTCTTCTAAGCCCCTGTTTACTTTCATTCTACTTCTGCTTCTGAGAGTTTTCTGACTACCCTAAATACCTCAGGTATGGTATTTGTATTTATTATTGTAAATTGTGCTTCACTTAGCATAATTCTCTCATTTCATCCAATTGATGGTATGCATAAGAATTTCTTTCCTTGTTTTGGTTTTGTATCACACCCAGCAGTGCTCAGGGCTTATTCCTGGCTCTATGCTCAGGGATCACTCCTGGTGTACTCAGGGAACTATCAGGTGGTGTGAGGGATCAAACCTGGGTTGGATGTTTGCAAGGCAAGCACCTTGCCAGATCTCTCTGGCTCTAAATTTTCTTCCTTTTCAAGACTAAACAATATTATGTGGTATATACCACACTCTGTCTACTCATTCATCTGTTGACATTTAGGTTGCTTCCATTTTTGGCAACTGTGAATAATGCTGTTTGGAGTATGGGTCTACAATATCTCTTTGAAACTATCAATTCTTTTATATACCCTGAAGCAAAATAACTAGATCAAGTGGTAATTCTACGTTTTCTGAGGCACTATCATATCATTTTCCACAGTAGCAATACTGTTTTATATTCCCATCAACAGCGTATGGGTATTGCAAACTTTTCACATCCTTGTTAATGTCTGCGATTTTCTCTGTTCACTCTTTTTCCCTCTCTTTAGAAATCATCCTAAAGATTGTCAAAAGACGTATCATTGTGGCTCTGATTTGCTTTTCCCTAAGGATTAATGAGTATCTTTTCATATGCTTGCTGGTCATTTGTATATTTTTATTTTTTTCTATCTTAAGCACCATAATTTGCAATATTGTTAATGACAGATTTTTTTATGCATTCAATGTTCCAGCACCTCACCCTGCATCAGAGCATCTGCTTTCGTCCACCACTGTCTCAACATTTGTGTATCTTCTTCGAGATAGATTTATTTAAGTCAGTCTATTTTTTATGCCATTGTTCTTGATATACCATTAAAAACATTTTTGTGGTGCTGAGGATTGACTACAGTTATGCAAGGCATGTGCTCTACCACTGACCCACATCCTCTGCCCCTTTTATAATTATTTCAATGATGGGGCTGTAAATGGGACCAGTGTGCAGAAACCTGAGCAGCACAGTGGGGTTGGACTGGGCAATGGCAACAATGTCTAAGGAGAAGACAAAAACGAGCTTAGTGACATCAGCCCAGTTTTGCTCAAATGCCCAAACAAGAATAAGACATGACACGAAAAGAGTACAGAGCAAAAGAATACCCCAACAAAAACACAACCAAACAAGAAACTCTAAACTTACAGATACAGCTTAAATTCATTTTCATTTTCTCAGCCTAGTCAGTATTACCTTCAAAGAAAATTGATAGATTGGGTTGATTTTTCGGAGGTCATTAATGACAAAGTAAAGAAGAGATGCTCTTGCTGCCACTGGTCTGTAACATTCTCGGGCCTCATTGATTTTTCTTTCATTTTCTTTAGCTTCAATCACCTATGGCAGAACAAAACAAGTATTTCATTTATTCTTCAGAGTCACTACACCCAGTCACATAGAGATATGATTCACACTAAAGTAGATAACATTATGGTATCTATATGCTTTAGTTTTTAAAAAATTGTTAAATTCGTATTTCTATTTTTTTCATAAACTGGGTTTTCAGTAGAGTAACTCTAGATATGTGGCTATAGATTAAGCAAATCAGACTGTATTAGGCAAATCTGATTGTGTTAGGTTCCATAGTATTTATTCTGGTTAATGTCACCTTCCTGTCTCTCTTCTCTCTTTCAGGGGTTAATAACCCAGATATATCACCTCCCAGGGATGGCTTTTAAAAAGTCTGCTGGGTCAGTTCAATGCCAATAACTTTATTAGTCAACAAGGTATATAAAAGCTGCCAAGGTCAATAGTATCTCTAATAGCGAGGCTTCCTAAAAATCCTTTATATGAAAATTCTCATGTCTATAATTTTGACTCTGCACCAGTTCAGCCATATGCTCATATATTTCAATTTAGTTTATCTTTATATATTAGCCTCTAGGTACATTTTGGGAGGTAATTAGGAAAAAATACCACCAACAATCATATTCATTTCTACTTCAGGTTCAAAGACTTACTTCTTTGATATATGTATCTTGATACCAGTCATATGTGGCTTTGTAAGAAACAATATTTTTATAGCTTTTGGTAGACTTGATTCACCAAAGTTATAAAAGGAAATGAAACGTACAGCAGAGAGGGAAGCCAGTGTAAGGTGGTACAGAAAGAAGAAGAGTGAATTAGAAGTTAACTTCAAAGCTAAGACCTAATTTACTTAATTGCACTAATCTTTCCCATCTCAGAGCCCCCTCAGATTCACTTACTTAAAAGGAGGGAGTAATTTGGGATTCTGTTTCCTTATTTAAATGAAGACAAATATATGGGAAGTGTGGTAACACAGCCTCATCTGGTAATGAATAGATTAGTAATGAGGACATTTCAGAAAGCGAATCAGAAGTCCTTTATTTTGAAGAATGGAATTTGAAGAGTTAATGGTCACTTGGGGAAGTCCAAAGTGCATGTCAGGCATGAGGCAGATTGAGATACAAGTTGGACGATCAGCAGGAAGTATATTCAAGGAAATTTTTGACTGGCTTTTAGGAAATGTCACCTTCCCTGGGTGAATAATGCTTTCGAGTACAGCAGGAGACCATCCCTGGCTCAGTCTCCTGCCAGTGAAGGCCTGGAAACAGAACTTCAGCTCTAAGTATTTCTCTAAAATATCCAACAGAAATAGAGACCTGTGGTGAGCTGGGAGCATGTGGACCGGCCAGCACTGAATGCTAATTTTATACCCTAAAAGCCAGCAGGTCTCAGTCTTTTTTTTTTTTTCACACTTTGGTCACTCAGAGACAATACTAGCCTGACGCAGAATCCAGTTTGAATGGCTGGATCTCCGCTGAATGAGGAGAAGCACAGGCTCCACTGCCTCTATCTCCATTTAGAACTCTGCACAACCCAATGTTTAAGGGCAGTTTTCTAAATGACCCTAAATTCATAAGGCAGACCTTTTACAGAAATCACTGAGTTTGATTCCACTCTCTTTTTCCCATGACGGTAAGCAACAGTCTTTATTTCACAAAGGACTGTTTTCATTTTCTGGAGCACTGATGTATAAGTTTAAACCATTTAACTTTAATAACTTGACTTGCTTAAATTATAAGGGGATGACCACAGTAAGTTCATACCAGAGGTCTGATTCCCAACCTGGAGAGCCTTGAAACTAAGTTTATTCCAACTCAACTCTTTCCTTATTTCTCTCTTATACATTCTCTTAAATCGAAGTAATCTTTGATATTTTAAGAGATTATTTAAGCTGTTCCTAAATAGAAGCAATCTAGCTTGAAATAACAGATATATATAAAAAAAAAAAAAAGAAGAGAAGAGTTTAACTATGGGTGAAACAACAGTGAAGAATTCAGAATTTTAAAAAATTTAATTTGAGGGGCTGGAGCAATAGCACAGCAGGTAGGGGGTTTGCCTTGTATACATGCTGATCGGGGTTCGATTCCCAGCATCCCATATGGTCCCCTGAGCACCGCCAGGAGGAATTCCTGAGTACACGAACCAGGAGTAACCCCTGGGCAATGCCGGGTGTGACACAAAAAGCAAAAACAAAAAAAAATTGATTTTGCATACTATTTACAATGTGATTTACAATACCATTAAGGTTAGGGTTTCATGCATATAATAATCTAACACCACATCCTTCACCAGAGTGTTTGCTTCCCTTCATCACTGTCTCATGGTTTCCCCTGCCCCAAACTCTAATAATACATTCATGCCAAGCTCACTGTTTAACATGCAGATGCTAGAGCTGCAATTTTTTTTATTAGTGAAACACCATGAGGTACAGTTATAGACTTACAAATTTTTTGTGCTTGGGTTTCAATTATACAATGATCAAGTACCCATCCCTCCACCAGTGCTCATTTTTCACCACCACTGATCCCAATATCCCTCCCAACCCCCATCCCCTCCATTCCACCCTGCCTCTGTGGCAGGGAATTCCCTTTTGTTCACTCTCTCCTTTTGAGTGCTGTGGTTTGCAAAAGAAGGCATTCCCTTTTGTATAGAGCTGCAATTTGTATTATTTAAACCATATTCAAGTGTGCGCCACTAGTGGCATGTTGAAGTTATCCCTAGTACAACCCCTTGAACACTGGAGGTCACTGGGCCTTTAGGGAGTGCCCTGGGTCCCGACTTCTCTGGGAACTGTTGCAAGCAAAAACTGACATTTCTAGAATAACATAGATTAATTGGCCTTGATTTGCCGGAGGCTGACAGCTTGAGATCGTTGGGTGTCAGCAATATTTCAACGCTTGCTTCTTCCTTAGAGCATCAAGGATAGTGCTCCAGTCGCTTCTTCATAGCCATAACATAACATAACATAACATAACATAACAATACGCTGCCTCTCTTCACCATCTGCTTGTTAGTGCACTTAAGCATATTCCCTTAGCCTCTATTTAATTATTGCTTTTCCTATCAAACTTCATATGACTATGAATCTATGGCCTGTGTGGCTGGCTATGCCTTGGCCATGCTGTGAAGGTGTCTGAGCATTGGCTGCCCTGGACCAAAGGACTGTGTCCTTGTTCCTGGGGTCCCTGTAGTTACGAGATAACTACAGTGAGTTAAGCAGAGCATTCTTGAGTCTTCAGAGATCCAGTTCCTTTTCCCACCTTGCGCTCTATTTCCGCTGCCGTTGCCTTAGTTGTCTCCAGTCTTTCCACTAGTTTGGTGTCACCTAAAAAACTTCCCTCTGCTGCAGAAAGGCGCAGAAGGAGGTCATCCTCCAGGTACTTCAGCTCGATCTTAAAATCATTCTGGTGCTTTGTCAAAGCCAACTAGTACGAAGAGAGAAAAGAGAGGGAAGTTAAACTCATGCTTTAGAGTATTTCCTCAGTGACACATTTCACAGAATCAGCATATAGTAAGATGTACTGAACAATAAGACAAACCAGTCACAATTTTTCTTGTTTGTTTTTGGGCCACACACACCTGACCATGTTCAGAGCATATTCCTGGTTCTGTGTTCAGGTGGTACTTTGGGATGGAATGTAGTAATGGAGATTGATCTGGGGTTGGCTGTGTGCCAGACAAGCACTTTATCCACTGTACTAAATCTTCAACTTTTCTAATGATAATATATTTTTTTAAGTTTTAAAAAATTTTTGGGTCACACCCGGCGATGCTCAGGGGTTACTCCTGACTCTGCACTCAGGAATTATCCCTGGCGGTGCTCAGGGAACCATATGGGATGCTGGGAATTGAACCCCAGGTCGGCTACGTTCAAGGCAAACGCCCTACCCGCTGTGCTATCACTCCAGTCCCTCTAATCATAATCTTAAAAAATTCTTTAAAAAATGTCAGAGGGCATGTTAAAATCTACATGCCCAGGGTTTGTCTATCTATTATCCTCATTCAACATCATATCCTATTTAAGAAAATATTAGAAATTTCTGCTCCAAACGTTAAAGAGCTGGAAGTTATCATTTACATTTTTACCTGAATGGAAAAAAGAGCTAATTAACAATTCTTAGATTTGTCAGAGAACTAAGTCACAGAGCATACTGCCCTTTAGAAAAGTGGAAAGAGAAGCAATGTTGTCTCTATTCACCTCTCAGGAACATGCAAACCTTAGCTGGCTGATGGAGGGAAGCAGAACACATAATGTAAAATTTCCTGGGGCTCTACTTTTAGCAAACTTCCAACACTTTTGTAATTTTTTACATCCAGAAGTCAGGTCAGAGGGACAGTACTGGGTTAAAGTGCTTGCAGTATGTGGCCAACTCTTCCTGCCACTGCATATGGATCCTGGAGCGCCACCAGGAGTGATGAGTGACTCCCAAGCACAGCTGAGTGTGGCTCTCAAACAAACAACTACAGAAGAGACTCAGCTGGCTTTGAGTGGAATAAGAGAAAAATACACCCTATTTTGGTCAGAGAAGAGGATAAACAAACATTTGAAAAATGTCCAGAGAAAAGTTACCGTTTTAAGGATGTCTAGATATTTTTGAGAGCATTTTGCCCTATGTTGGTGGTCTTTTTTATTTATTTTATTTTTTTATGTTAGATATATCTCTTTATTTATTTACTTTAATTTTTATTAGTGAAAAACCATGAGGTACAGTTGTAGACTTACAAATTTTTGTACTTGGGTTTCAGTTACACAATGATCAAGTACCCATCCCTCCACCAGTGCCCATTCTCCGCTACCAATGATCCCAGTATCACTCCCACCCCCCATCCCTCCCATCCCACCCTGCCTCTGTGGCAGGGCATTCCCTTTTGTTCTCTCTCTCCTTTTGGGTGCAGTAGTTTGCAAAAGAGGCATTGAGTAGCAATCATGTTCGGTCTATAGTCTACTTTCAGCATGCATCTCCCCTCCTGGGAAGATACTCTCAACACCCTTTATTTGGTGCTCCCTTCTCATTCTGAGCTGCCTTTTCCCCTAGCGAGTGTGGCTGGCCTCCAAGTCATGGGTATTGAACCAGCACTCAGGGACTAGAGCTGGCTTGCAATGTGTAGAAAGGCTGAAAACCACTTATCCACCAATCAAGTTATAACTGCCAGTCCATGGACTGGGATATAGGCAGGTGCTGGTCTGCAGGTGTAAAAAGGCTGAATGAAGACACTGCTCTAAACAAAATCCTGCCCTCCAAAGAAAATTGCTTTGCTAGAATTTTATCTCTGACTGGGAGAGAAGGACAATTAGATACCTCAGCCTCCTTTAGACATGCTTTCTCATATCAAAGTTAAAAACAGATGATAAGAATCTCTCTTGAAAGTAATTCATGTCTACTGAAAAATCTAGGATTGAATCATACTATTTTAAAAGCCATCTACAACTTTACTGAACAGTTAGAAGATTTATACTATTACAGAATGCATCAGCCTACAATTTTACTGAAAAAATACAAAAGACTTATTATAATATTATTTAATACTTTCTGTCTATAATGCTCATGAAAAATTTGAAGGATATAATCATACTATTATAGAAAACTTTCTGTCCACAATTCTTATGACTCTCTGTAATTCTTATGAGAGAGCAACCAGACAGAGACTCTATTGAAGAAGGAGCTCCTAGGGAATTCCAAACACACAGAAAAGACAAAATCAAGGATACTTGAAGAAAGAGAAGCCTGTGATACCACCCAGCTGTAATCAACATAAAATAGAGTCTAATTTCTCCCAGTCATATAAACATAAAGCCTCAGGCTAAAAGTCAATTTACTTCTGCTCCAATTACCCCATACATCATATCTGACTTTCAGCAAAATAACTAAAAGAGAAGGGGAAAGTACCTGAAGTTTAAAGATTCAAATCAAACTTCAAAACATGGCATGGTATATATTTTGGTAATTCATAATAGCTATGTAAAGGGCTCTAGTAGAAAAATGTACAATATGCAAAATTTCCTGGGGCAATATGATTAGAGAAAAAAACTTTAAGAAATAATAAACAGGGATTTCTAGAAATAAAAACAATAAAAACACTGTAACAGAAATAAAGAATGTCTCCTGGGCTCATCATTAGTCTGGAAATGGTGACAAGAAGAATCAGTGAATCTGAAGATATGTCAAGAGAAACTTTTTAAACTGAAAATTTAAGAGGAAAAGGAAAAGTCAACACACACACAAAATTCAAGTGTTAAAATAAGTAAAAGATTTACATGTGAAAATATCTTAGGGGAAGAAAAAAGGAGAAAAAATACTATAGAAAATTACAGATAAGAATTTTCCAGAACTAATAATGACATTAGATGAATCATAGATCCAGAAAACCTACCGCATGCTAAACAGGATAAATAATGAAAAATTAAAATGATTACTTAGGCATATCATATACAAATTGTAAAAAAATTTTGAAAAATGTTGAAGGAAGTCTGGTAGTGGGGGTAAAAAATCTCAATTATGGTGGAGAAAGTATAAGAATTACAGGGAATTTCTTCTGAGAAACTATGTAATCAGGAAGAGTATAAGGTAAAATATTTATTTAAGATGAGGAAGATAAAACCACTAGAATTCTGTTTCTGGCCAAATGATTGCTTAAAAGTTTAGGAAAAATAGACTTTTTCACAAAACAGGAATTTTTTAATTGTATACCTATGCTACAAGAAGTTAAATTTGAGTGGATGTGAAAACTGGATCCTTCCTACAAACCTGGTGGACTTGAGGGGTCAAAGTGATAAGACAGTGGGTAAGGTGCTTTCCTTGCATGCAGGTGACTGTGTTTGATCCCCAGCACTTTATATGATCACCTGAGTCCCACCAGGAATGATTCCTGAGCACAGAACTAGGAGTAAGCCCTGAGCATTGCAAGGTGTGGTCCCAAAACAAATACAAATGAAAATATGATGGGTGTACAAAGGACACAGCAGTTTTGTACACAACCTGGCAGTTTCCCAAGTGATGCAGAATGACCCAGTCATTCTATTCCTAGTACGCACTAAAGAAAATTAAAAGCATACATCTACACTAGAAATATATCTGCATAGGAATGTTCGCAGTAGCAGTATGGGTTGTGAACCAAACTGGATACGACTTGAATGTTCACCAATTAGGTAGGTATAGGATAAATAAATATGATATGGCCAGATAGATAATGGAATAGCAGTCATAAGAGAGAATGAGTAATAGATATGTACAAGAACACAGATGAACCTTGAAAACATCTTTAAATAAATCAAACCAGAGAAAGGTCACATATCTTATGAAATGTTCTGAACAGGCAAATCTTAAGAGACAGATGATTGTTGGCTGAGAGGGGGCTAGGTGGGAGGAAGTAGGAATAACAGCTAACAGAAATGGATTTTCTTTTTTGAGGCAGTATAAAGTATTTTTAGTTTTTTTTTTTCTGAGGGGACAGGATCTCCCAAGTGAGACTTCCCCCACCATCAGCACTGGTGATTCTCAACCAACTGAGTCACTGGTACAGTGCAAGTGTCTGAGGAAGTGATGGCACTTAGGTGCTGCAGTGTCAGTGAAACATGGGGACATTCAATGACACTGAGGCTCTCTCAGGCCACAACCGGTGAGTTTTCTTTATTTATGTACATTTTCTCAGTATACATTTTCCTTTTTTTTTCTTTTTTTAGTAACAACCGGCATTGCACAGGGGTTTCTCCTGGCTCATGCACTCAGGAATTACTCCTGGCGGTGCTTAAGGGACCATATGGGATGCTGGGAATCAAACCCGGATCGGCCGCATGCAAGGCAAACACCCTACCTGCTGTACTATCGCTCCAGCCCTATATGTTTTCCTTTAAGTACTATTCATAACTTGCTACAATTAACTTTTCCAACCTACCTTGACTCCCCTTTCTTGCTCTCTGCCCTGGCAGTATTGGCCTATAATCACCTGTCCCACAGGGCATGAACCTGTCACTTCTCCTCCGTTTGCCAAGACTGACACACTTTGCTTATCCTACTCACTCATCTCTAACCAGCAGGAATCACCTAGATCACCCTCATTAGCAGGAGTTTCCCAAATTACTGCAACTTCTCACATATTTCCTTAGTTTTCTCAGTTAAGTTAGCAGGAATCCTGTCCTGTTCATTAAAAGCAAACCGCTAGGGGATATGGTGCAGCTACCAGGTCAATCTGTACCTGTGAGGCAAGTGCATCAGCAGCCTGATGGCGCCTTCAGACTTCCAAATATCCCAAAATTTCTGCTGTGCCTTTGACCAGACCCCAAAAACTTGGGGCAAAGTTTACCAAGAAAGTAAACAGCCAAAAGTTGGTATGTGGGAGACACACCCACAAATCACCTCCAGCTCAGCTATATAATTGGAGGCAAGGCCTCTCTGGTTCCTGATTGAACTGCTTAATGGCCATAATCCAAGAGACTCAGAAACAAATCTTGGAACCCAGTGGCTTTTGGCAGAAATGCATCTGGTCCCTGCAGTAGATTACCAGCGCCTGGCCACCCTAGGGTGGAAAGGGTGCTGTCCCTCCACCTGCTCCCCTTTGGCGGCTTGGTGGCTGCCATCTTCCAGAGGCCATTGGACAGTCAGGATTGGGCGCGCAGTGATGAGACACACGGGCCTCTCGGGATGGGGGTGGAGCCGGTCCTTTCCTCCCTGCCCCAAGGACTGAGTTGCTGCCGACGAATGGCCTCTCTGGCTCCTGATCAAGCTGCTTAACTGCCATGATCCAAGAGACTCAGGAACAACTCTCAGAACCCAGCAGGTTTTGGCAGAAATCCCTCCAGATTTAATTGTTAAAATTTCAGAATTCCAAAATTGCGTGGCCACTACTGCAGCTGTGCAACATCATATGTTATTCATAACCAGCAATAGAAAACAAAGTGTCTACTGTTGCTTTTTTGGCAGATCTGAGTGTTTGGGGTGAAATTCCAAATAATAATGGTGGGACTGGTGTCAAAATATTGAATGGAATCAAAGTAGAGAGAGAGTAATGTGAAAATCATCTGCCCCACAGGTAGGGGGAGGGTGTGGGATGGGGGGTAAACTGGGGTTTCTGGTGGTGGAAAATGGGCACTGGTGAAGGGATGGGGGTTTCACTGTATGACTGAGACTTAAACCTGAAATCTCTGTAACTGCTCTCATGGTGATTCAATAAATAAAATTTTAAAAAGGGGAAAAAAAGTAAGGTGGAGTTCATGCACAATTCAATCAGCCTAATCAATGGCTGAATAAATAGAAATACTCCTACATTAAAAAAAAAAGTAAACCACTGTTTGCATTAAGGGTCGAGGGTGGCTGATTTGATCATCCTTACCTTAAGTTTCTCCAAATCTGGCCTCTCGACACTGACGACCTCTGCCAGCAGCTGGGCTTCTAGACCATCTTCTGTGACCGTAAAATTGAGCAGGGTTGTCTGGGCTTGCAATTCTGGTTTGTAGTGAGGATTTGCTAGCTTAGTGTGAAGGATAAGTCGGAAGTTCTTGTTAAATTCACACTCTTTATCTCCAATCTTGATAAACCTGAAGGGAACATAACACAGTCAGAGAGTTCCCTGACCCATACCTGACACCGAGGTATTGTTGCCTTCTTTGATTCTGTTCCACACTTGAGCTGGGGGAGATGATGCTTCATGATTTTTCAGCTATTCTCAGTTCACTTCAATGATAGGAACAGGAATTATCCAGTAAACATGCTGAAGATTTCTCAGGTGTAAAATGGTGATAAAAATGGCACTTGCCTCAAAGATTGTATAAAAAATACCATAATTTGCATAAAAGACTTTAAACAACAAATATCAGTACTTCTGCAATTGACCTCAAACATTTCTATTCTTAAAGGATACTACAAACAAGAATGTGCTTTTATGTGTGTGTACCCAGTAAACTATTATAAACCCATATATGCATATTAATCCTATAGACTTAAAGTTGCATGGCTCAGAAGGAGTGAAAGCAGTCTCCCACGTGGATGGAATCCTCCTTAGCTCCCAGAGACACAGACCACAGACAATAACAGACCAAGCTTTGGCCTTGAATCCCTGCTCCCCCGGCCACACACACCAGGAGCGGGCATTTTATTCAAGCTGTTCCAATAAGAAGCACCTTTCTTGAGACTTGGGAAGGGACTGAGAAAGGGGGGAGCTGGGATGGGAACCCAACAGTCTATGCTGAAAACATTCCGTCCTGTGGAATCAAGCAGCAGAGAAAGACATTCTGGGTTTCCTCAGGAAGAATAATGAAACCTGTCTTTAGACAGAAGAGCACCAGGCTGGGAGCAGGTTCTCAGTTTCGAGGGTTTCTAAATCGCATCTTCCCTAAAAATGGCTGTGCTGTACATCAGCTACTAAACCTGACTTCCTGTGCTAGATGATATTGGTGTTGGTGACCGCTAGCAAAGTTGGTGAGGGGAAGAGGGGCGGAGGAGGCTTGGTTTTCCTCTATCTCAGATGTGCAGTTCTCACTTCCACAGGCTCTGCTTCCTGGGATCCATCACCTTCAGGGTGGAGGCTACAATGGAAGCAGTGGCAGAGGCACAGGCATGGGCGAAGATAGAGGCCCTTAGAGTGGTGCTTGGGTACCACATGCGATGCTGGGGATTGAACCCATATCTTCTGAGTTCACAGTCCTATCTCTCTGGCCCATAAGAAGGCTTTTAATTTATGGTAAGCAGAGAAACCACAAACACTAGGATTTCTTAAATTTCTTAATTTCTTAAATTCTTTTTTTTTTTTTGGTTCTTTTTTTTTTTTTTTTTTTATTTATTGAATCACTGTGGGAAAGGTTACAAAGCTTTCAGGTTTATGTCTCAGTCATGCAAATATCAAACACATTTCCCTTTACCAATACTTATTTTTTCCCATGAAGAACCCCAATAAAACCCCACCCCCCACCCCTCCCCGTCCCTGTGAGGCAGATGAATTCTAGTTAACACTCTTAAATTCTTCCAGTAAAAAAAGACTGCATGAGAGTGAAAATTCACACAGGTGGAGAGCATGAGAATCCAGCCTAAGCGTTTTTTCTATTCTTCCCTTTTATCTTAAATATTCAGGAAAATACTAGATCCCTCCCTTTTAGGTATTAAAAATACTTTAATTATAGAGATGGGCTGGAGCGATAGCACAGCGGTAGGGCCTTATAAGCAGCCAACATGGCCGACCCGAGTTCGATTCCTCTGTCCCTCTCGGAGAGCCTAGCAAGCTACTGAGAGTATCTTGCCTGCACGGCAGAGCCTGGCAAGCTACTCATGATGTATTCAATATGCCAAACACAGTAACAACAAGTATCACGATGGAGACGTTACTGGGCCCGCTCGAGCAAATAGATGAACAATGGGAGGATCGTGACCGTGAATTATAGAGATACCGATATCATACCAATAGAGAATGTTATCCAAAGCCAATATTATCTTAACTTCAATATATTATTTTAGATAATCATGAACAAAATAATCTCAATGACTTATGGATGAGATGCTGTTTCATCAATTTATCAATTCAGGCAACGTTCGTTTTTATCAAAATTATTCCAATATCTGCAACATTTTTTTTAACGTGGGGAGAAATACCAGGAACACTGCAATACAGCAGTATTTTAGGTTGTCGGTAGTTGGGTTGTTTAACAATAGTGTCTTTTTATTATTATGTCTTATGCTGAGATTAAGTCTCCTGTCTGGTGACCTGATTCACTGGCAATGTTATTTTACTGGAATATATATATATATATATATATATATATATATATATATAGTGAGAAAGAGAGAAAGAGAGAGTATGTATAGGGTATCACACATGCAAGGCAAGTGATTTGCCACTGAGCACTCTTGACCCTTTACTGAGAATTTTTTTTTCTTTTTGGGCCACACCCAGAAATGTTCAGGGGTTACTCCTGGCTCTGCACTCAGGAATTACTCCTGGCAGTTCTCGGGGGACCATATGGGATGCTGGGAATAGAACCCGGGTTGGCTGCGTGCAAGGCAGCCACCCTACCCACTATGCTATTGCACCAGCCTCTACTGAGAAAATTTTTATGAAACAATTTTTGTATCATCTAAAAAAAATTTTAAAAAATCTTGCCTCCCCTCCACTCCTCTCCCTTCCCTTCCCTTCCTTTACTCTTTTTTGTCCTGGGGCCACATCTTGCTATACTCAGTAATCCCTGAGGGGCTGGTTTTGGTGCTGGGGCTCATACTGGATCAGCCACATGTAAGCCAAGTGCCTTAACCCTTGTACTATCTTTCTGTACTAAAAAAGAACCTTCTTAAATACAAAAATTTTAGATAAATCATCACTTAAAATTTCATTACTACAACTAAGAAGCTAGATCAGATCCCAAAAGCTAGATCAGATTCATGATTTTTAGTTTTCATCCGGCTCTTTTATCCTTTAAAAAAAAATCAGGCTCTTGAATTGTATACCACTGTAGTAAACTATACTGAAAGCAAACAAACTTTCAGTTTCCCTTAAATGTCTCAGCCTAAAAAGGATTTGTCAAGAGTTCACGTGGGAAGAACTTTCTTAAAAAGCTGAAAAGAGCCACTTTACTCTTGTTAGGTAGTTTCTGTTTTCACTTTGTCAGGATGTCCTGTTTAATTTCTCCAGGAGTTTAAAAAAAATTCAGGTGGCAACTCCTCTTCTAAGTCAGTATATATCTAATGCATACATCCTTTAAGAAAAAAAATACATGTCAAGAGTTCAACATGACTATTGAAGAGTACACAGAGATTGTTCAGAGCAGAATGACTGAAACCGCAGGCCAGTGTTCACAGGGAACCAGTCACTGGTGGCCAATGACGAGAGCAGGCCTGGGGCTCCTTGGATAGGCTATGGATATGGTCCAGATGCTTGGATGCATTATTTTTCATCTGGGGGCTACACCTGGCTGTGCTCAGGGATCACCCCTGGTGGTAATTTGGGGTTCTATATTCAGTTCCAGGGATAAAACTGGGGTCAACCATGTGCAGGGTAAGAACTTAACTTACCTGTGCTATGTCTCCAGACCTACTTGCATGCCTTTTTCAATTGATATCATGTTAAGATAATTATGTATCACTGATAATTTCTTCAGTTCTTTGTTTTTAATCACAAAATAGGTTGAAACCAAGCATCTACTCATTCCATAGGTACTTGCTCAACACCTATGGGAGGAGTTGGAACACTGGGCCCGTAGGCAGTAAAAGAATCCTGTGGTCTGGCCCTAGTACATGGTAGCCTAGTAAAGGTTTCTGTCAGCGGGCTGGGGCCTGGCTGCTTGTACTGTGGGGTCTATGAATGATGCTATAAATATGGTTCTTGGCAGGAAGAAAGTTCCCCACCCCTGATCTACACTATTTTAGACTCTCAGAGAATCTTCTATGCATGGGAATATAAGGTTATATCACTATCACTATCAAGATAATACAGTCCCTGCTCTCACAAACATTATTACTGATTCTCATAATAGGGATAAGGGGAAAAATTTGATATATTCTCAGATTTTCTTAGTCATAAACATGTGTCAAGCAGCCACAATGAGCATAGCTATGCGCAATTAAAAGACAAGTAAGAGCTGTTAGGAAAAATGAACTCATGAAATTTGCTTAAGAATAAATGAACACGGAGAGCATCATGCTGAGTGAAATGAGTCAGAAGGGACGAATATAGAATGACTTCACTTATTTGTGGGATACAAATAGTATAGCATGAAACTAATATCCAAGGCCAGGAAAAATAGGGGCCAGGAGGACTGGTCAATGGTTGAAAGCTTGCCATGAGTGTGTGTGGGACAAAGGGCAGTCACTCTGGATAAGAACTAAGTGTTGAAAGTAGGTAAAAGTATATACACGATAACCTTTCAGTATCTGAATTGCAAACCATAATGAATGCCCAAAAGGAAAGAGAGAGAGAGAGAGAGAGAGACAGACAGACAGACAGACAGACAGACAGAGACAGACAGAGAGGGAGAAAGGAGAAAGTACGGGAAGGAGAGAGAGACAGAGAAAGAGAAAGACATAAAGAAGAAAAGGATCTGCCACAGAGGCAGGCAGCAGTGGTGGGGGTAGGGAGGTGTCTGGTGAAGGGACTGGTCTAGTATTGGAACATTATATGACTGAAACCCAATTATGAGCAACTTCATAACTGTGAACATCACTGTTATTCAATTTGAAAAAAAAAGACAAGTGAGGGCTGTAGAGAGAGTGCAGAGATCAAGATGCTTGCATTGTATGCATGTGACCAACCCTGGTTTGATCTCCAGAACTGCATAAGGTTTCCCAGCACTCCCGGGAGTAATCCTTGAGCACACATCCAGCGTAAGCCCTGAAGAACACCAGATGCACCCCCTAAACAAAAAAAAACTTTAAAAAAAACAGGCAAAGGTCAGCAGCCCATGTTGGGGAAAAGGCAGCTCAGATAGAGAAGGGAACATCAAGTAAAGGTTGTTTGGAGGACTCGCTCGGCATGTGAGATGCATGCTGAAAGTAGACTATAGACTGAACACAATGGCCACTTAATACCTCTATTCCAAACTACAACACCCTAAAGGAA